TTATTCGTTCATTTATTCATTCATTCGTTTATTTTGGTGTGCGTGTATCCATGCACGTGCATGTATACTTTGGGGGAGGACACATGGGTGCCATGACACATGTGAAAATGTGGGACAACTTGTGGAGTCTGTTTTCTCCTTTCACCGTGCGTGTCCTCAGGACCAAAGTCAGATGGTCAGCCGTGATGGTGAGTGCCTGTAACACACTGAGCCATCTGGCCGGCCTGTGAGTGTTTTCTTCTCACTACAGTCAGTCCGCTACCTTCCAAAGCCGAGTCTCTGAGCTGGCCCGAGCATGTCTCCGTGTTGACATACTTCCATTGCATGACAGAGCTCACTCAGGTTCATCTCTGAGCATGGCAGGAAGCTCAGAACCCACAATGGAAAAATCTCACAAATTTAACTCTGTCAAGAGGAACTTCTGTAGGAAAAAAACAGCTGAGGGAAAGGGTACAAAAGTAGGAGATACCTATCACACTGTAGCTAAGGATACTTTTCTGGTTATGTCACAGGCTTCTACATATTAATAAGAGGAAACTTCAGAAGGGGTGAAAAGTCCCAGCACTCAGGGGATGAGCCAAGAGGATCAAGATTCAAGGTTATCTTCAGCTATATATAGAGTTCAGAGCTAGCCTGTACTCACGAGGCCCTGTCTTTAAAAAAAAAAAAAAAAAAAAATGGAGGGGATGCTGACAACCCAGGAAATTGGTAGAAAGGTGTCAGAGAAATGCAAATTGGGATGAAGCCATGTTCCACTGGTCAGGGGCGAAGTCAGAGCTTGATAATTGATGCAGTGTTGGTAAAGGTGAGGGCAGAATGTCTGTGGAAGGTGTATCTTGTCAGGGTAGTTAGCTGTACTTGTCACCGTAGAAGTTAGGGTCTGGGGATACAGCTCGGTGTTTAGCATGTGCCTGCCACACGTGTCCTCACAGGAGAATCCCTAAAAGCGGGCCTAATGACACGTGTTGTAACCTCAGCACTTGGAAGATAGAGACAGGGATCTTTCAAGCTCAGTGTTGCCTGGCAACAGAGCAGCCTTGTCTCAAGGCAAAACACAACTGAAAAGTTACTTATGCAGGTTAAGCATTTTATTGATAAATCAGTTGTTATTATATTGTGGAGGGGAGCCTGCTTGCCATGGTGCGTGTGGAGGACAGAGGGAGGGGGGCTTGATCACTGCTTCTCTTTCACCTTTACGTGGGTTCCAGGGATCAAACGTGGAGTGCCAGGCTTGAACAGCAAGCAAGCACTTTACCTGCTGAGCTATCCCATTGACTTTTAATTTTTAAAAATCTAATTTACACATATGAATGTGTCCAAATATGAGCGCAGCACTGTCATGGGGTACCCCTCCCCTCCCTCCCTCCTTCATTCCTTTCTGCCTTCCTTTCTTTATTTCTGAGATAGTCTGGCTATGTAGCCCTGGCTAGCCTGGAACTTGCTGTGTAGACCAGGCTGCATTGTGAATGCTCTGCCCCATGAATGCTAGGATTGCACATGCGCTCTACTGTGCTTGACTGTCCTCTTGGTTTTGTGAGACAGTCTTGCTGTGTTGCCTAGGTGGGCCTCTGTCTCTCAAAGATCTACTTGCCTCAGCCTCCTGAGCATCGATATTACAGATGTGAGTAACGACAGCAGCTGCATAACCCTCTTACATCAGGGGTTTGACTATGGTGGCAATTCATACAGTAGAATATTCCGTACTCAGGGAAAAGAATGTACTGCAGGAAGACTGGTTCCCGCTTGCGTGTGCAGTGCTGAGTTTCTCACAGGTGACTTTAGTTTTGAGAGGGGGTATCGCACTGAATCTACAGCCCACATAAAAGTGGAAAAACCATCTTCCCAAGGTTTTGGCTAGAGCATCTGGCCTGCAAGCCTTCCTTCACTTCTCCAGTACAAGAATTACAGACACAAACCATCACACTCAGCTTCTTTTGGCCTGGGTGCTGGGGATCTGAACTCAGAGCTCTATGTGTGCCCAGGCTGACCTTGAACTTCTGATCCTCCTGCTTCCACCTCCTGAGGATCAAGGTCTGGCACATGGACGCCCAGGCACTGTTCTAGAAAGTCGTGTGCTTTGTGAGCTGCATTAACTCATCCTGTCAACCTCTGTGCCTCATAGATGGCTTAAGAGGTGTCAGTTAACTAGCAAGGGTCACCCAGCTAGGATTTGAACCAAGACATTCTGGCCCTAGGTTCTGGGTTTCTACCTTTAAAACCTTGATTTTTCACCCACTGGAAGGTGCCTTTAACATTAAAACCACAAATCCAGTACTCTGATGAATTGTGTCTCCAACCTGTGTTATGAAATACATAAGGTTTTTCCCTTTTCTTCCTCCCCCACCCCCCACAGGATCTTATGTAGCCCTGGCTTGGTCTTGAACTCAGAAATCCACTTGCCTTTGCTTCCTGAGTTCTAGAACAGATTAAAGGCATGCGCCACTGCACCCAGCTGTTTTTTTTTTTTTTTGTTTGTTTGTTTTTGTTTTTTGTTTTAAATAGAAGGTGTTCATGCTGCTCAGCTTTAGACTACCACGCCAAGGAACATGGAGGTTTGGCAGGCAAGAGTAAAAGAGACTTAATAAATTAATTAGCTGGTGTGGGTAAGAAAAGAGTACCATTATGCCTGTTGAAAAACTGTAGAGCTGGAAGCCTGCCTTTAACTGCTTCTTGACTCCTTTGGGACCTAGATGGGAACCACAGTTCAGAGAAGCTGCAGCCAAGCCTTTTTTCTTTGTTTTGTTTTTCAAGAAAGGGTTTCTTTGTAGCCTTGGCCATCCTGGAACACTCTCTGTATACCAGGCTGTCCTAGAATGCAGAAATCCACCTGTCTCTACCTCCTGAATACTGTGATTAGAGGTATGGGGTGCCATCACCTGGCATTTTTTTTTTTTTTTCCTTCTCTTTTAAACAAAACCAAGAAACCTTAGATGGCTTCAATGATCCTTCTGAATACAAAAGTATTGGGTGCTGGGTTAATGGGCTTCATAAACCAGGTTCATTGTGTCCCTTGGTGAAATTCTCTCTTGCTCTTTTGACCGGCTCCCAAGGGAGGAGTAGACAATCAACTCCTATTTTGTTCTTTTGTCTTAAGTCTTGAGGCTGTTCTCAGACATGAGGTTAATCAGAGTGATGTTCAACCCTTCTGAAGCTGGTGAGATGTGCAGAGATGCCATCGTGGGAATGCTGTGGCATCTTCAGTCCCAGCTTACATGTTCTTAGTACAGAGCGTGCTCATTATTGTAAAGGCAGGCTGTTAACATTGCTGCTTACCCAGGGCCAGGCACTCAGTGACTAGCAGGCAGTGTCTTTGCCTTCCTCTTCTGTAACACAAATAACGAGACCCAGAGACTGACACTGGGTTCAAACTTCAAGCTGAATGTCAGAAAAGCAAAGCAGCTGGCCACTAGCTCTCACTTCCAGCTCAGGCTGAAAGGGTTGATCCACACATGAGTGCTTCACCAAGTTTCAAACTGCTGCCTTTCCTCAGTGTGGCTGGAGAACCAATGCCTCTTTGAGACCTTGCTTCTGTGTTATATATTTCCCTAATGTTGGGGTTAAAGGTGTGAGCTATAATTCTCTTTTAGACTGATTCTCTCTTGTGTAGATCTGGGTGGCCTTGGACTCAGAGAGATCCAACTATCTCTTAATTCGGAGTCCTAGGTTTAAAGGTGTGTACCACCACCTCCTAGCTTGTGGCTGCTGGGATTAAAAGTGTGAGCCTGGCTTCTATGGCTTGTGGCTGACTTTGCTTTCTGAATCCTCAGGCAAGCTTTACTAAATCATAAACAGTATCTCACCATATTCCTCAGATTGCTGACCAGTTGTTACCTTAGGAGCCAGGCATGTAGCTCAGTGGGAAAGCACATGTTTAGTGTGTGTAGGGAGCCTTCAGTCCTATTTCCAGTAGCTTTGTTTGTTTGTTTGTTTGGTTTTTTTTTTTTTTTTTTTTGGTTTTTTGGTCTAACAGTCCTAGCTGTCCTGGAATCCACTCTGTAGATCAGGCTGGCCTTGAACTCACAGAGATCTGCCTGCCTCTGCCTCCTGAGTGCTGGGATTAAAGGCATATGCCACCACCGCCCAGTTAAGCAATAAGAACTCTTAACCGCTGTACCATCTCTTTAGCCAGGAAAGAGAACTTGCTAGAAACTGGGGTGAAGCGAATGTTGTGCACAGTGGTCACTTTTGTCTTCTAAAGGACATTGTATTTGATGTTCCCAGTGCGGGGTCCAGAGGCACGTAGTTTGCTACCTGTGACAGGTAACACTGCCAGTTGAGTAAGGTAGTGTCTGCTGTTGGCATGGTGTGCACCTGTAGTCTTATACTAGAGGCTGTAAGTGGGAGAGTCTAAGTTCGAGGCTAACCTTGGGTACATAGTGACTCCTGATTTTAAAAAAAGAAAAAAACACTCTGTTAAATTCTCTATTCTCTACTATGATGTTTATCAGATTTTTTTTTTTTTTGAACAAGTAGTCTGTGGGGAGGCAGCTTACATTTATTTCTAGAAATATCTTGTTCTGTTCATATGTTTGTGTATTCTATGTATATATTAGAATGTTGAGCTTGCTTGTTGAGTTTGCAGTCTGGTACCCTGCCAGTGTTCTGGTTCTTTCCTCCTTCTCTAGCAGTGAGAAAGAGCCTGGCTCTTGTGGGCCTCAGTACCTGTCATCATTCATGAAGTTGTTTGTGTTTGTCTGGTTTCATTGCATGCAGACAATTTCCTAACCATGTGGATGACCTTTTGGGGCAGACAAACCCATCAGTGTGCTGTGTGAACAGCTCAGCCCCACTGGCCACGCCCTGCAGTGCCTGCAGTATGGCGGGAGGCCCGCGTCCCACCCAGGAAAAGGGACTAAGGAGGAAAGGGATAGGACTAGCCTGGAAGCTGGCTGTTAGCTTCTGCTCACAGACGTCCACCACAATGGTGTGAGGCGCTCAGCTGTGGCGGTGTGGGTGCTCCTGAGGTCTCTGGTTCTCAGTGTCGTTTTCTCTCCTCTCAGATGGTTTCACCCCAACATCACTGGTGTGGAGGCAGAGAATCTCCTGCTGACCAGAGGAGTCGATGGCAGTTTTTTGGCAAGACCCAGTAAGAGTAACCCTGGAGACTTCACTCTGTCCGTTAGGTAAGTTGGAAGGTAAAGAGGACACTCAGGGTGTTTCCAGAGGAAGGGCGAGGCCTCAGGCCTTCCCACAGAGCTTGAAGGCCGTCTGCTGCACTGTGGAGCCACTCAGGGCACTGGCCCATTCTATGCATGTTTTTAAAAGATTTTATTTTATGTGTATGAATGTTCTGCATGTATGCATGCATGCATGTATGTATGTATTATGTATGCATGAATGCATGTATGTTCTCCCTGTGTGTGCTTCATGGTCAGAAGAGGCCATCAGATCCCTTGGAACTGGAGTAACAGATAGTTGTGAGCCACCATGTGGGTGCCAGGAACTGAACCCTCAGGAAGAGCAGCCAGTGCTCCTAACTGGCGAGCCAGCTCTCCAGCCTTTTGAGGTCTCCTAGACTCACAGCCTTGGGAAACTGTGGAAAGAACTGTTGGTCTTCTGCTTACAGTGGAGACCAAGCATACCTTGGTCAGAGAGATGTACCGGAGCCTCTAGGGCTGAGTTGTGGCTCCTCACCTTTGACCTGCCTCTTGTGTATTTCTTTTCTGCTCTGGATTTCGTCATGGGGAACAGACTTTGTGAGGTTCTTCACACCACTTTCCTTTGTCAAGAGCAAAAACCTCTGTGAGGAAGTTGTGGTCCCTGTGTGTCCCCTGCCCAGTCCCATGCCCCCTCCTCTTTTCCCTAGAGGAAGCCATTGTCCTCTGGATGTGTTGCTCTTGTGTTCCCAACATATTAACTGTCCTGTGGTTCATACATCCATTGAAGTGCTGTTTGAGTTGCATACTGGGCAGTGACTACTTGGTGGTTAAGTGATGCAAATATACTAGCTTCTCCATTCTTCTAGTGGTGGACACGGTGTGGCTTTGATTTGTTTTAAATCCTTGGGGATAGTGGAGTGCATCCTCACGGTCCCTTTGAGAAGGTGTGGGAGAGTTTTCTAGATGAGTTTTCTATATGCCCATTCTAGCTGTTCAAACTGAAGTATATGGATTTGATTTTACTTTTCACTTAAAGAGATGAGTAACTCATGTCCTTGAGGATTTATTAGAATCTCACTAGGGCTTAGGAAGTAGTTGTTCACTTATTCATGTACGTACGTAGGTACGTATGCATGTATTAATGGCACAGGGTTTTACTAGGTAGTATTGGCCAGCCAGGAACTTGTATTCAGAGCAGGTTGGCCTTGAATTCACAGAGATCTACTTGCCTCTGTGCTAGGAGGAATATAGGCATTCTCCACACCATGCCAGCTCCTTCAGCCTTTTGAAAGAAAGTTGTACGGTGTCTGTAGGACCCCAGCCTGGAAATGCATATAGAAGAGATGTTAGCACTGAGTGTCACCCAGTAGGGAGTGCATGTTAGACTTCTGTATTATTCATCCGGTTTTGAATATACTTGTTTATTGCTGTGTGTGTGATGTGTGAGCTTCACAGTTCCCCCAGGGATGAGGCTTAGGTTGTCAGGCTTTCCCTGTTGAGCCAGCTCAACACCCTCTGATTTTTTTTAACATTTAATTTTTTAATGTACTAGTTAAAGAAAACTTTTTTTTGACATTTATTTGATGTGTGTGCACATGCGCGTGGGCACGTGTGGAAATGTACCAGTGTCATGGCATGAGTGTATAGGTGGCTTTGGGAGTTGGTTTTCTCCTTCCACCACCGTGTGTGTCCTGGGGATTAAACTTGGTTTGTGAGCTAAGCTTTGCTGACAAGACCCCTTTACTCATTAAGCCATCTTACTGGGCCCCGTTGACTTTCCTTTTTCTTTCTCTTTTTCTTTTTCCGAGACAGGGTTTCTCTGTGTGTAACAGGCCTGGCTGTCCTGGAACTCGCTTTATAGACCTCATTGGTCTCAAACTCACAGTTTGCCTGCCTCTACCTCCCAAATGCTGGGATTAAAGGCATGTACCACCACTCCCCTATTGGACCTTTTTGTTTTGTTTTGTGTTTTTGAGACTTGATCTCATGCAGCCAAGGCTGGCGTTAAACTGGTTACCCTCCTGCCTCAAACTCCTATGTGCTGGGATTATAAGTGTGCATTGCTATAGTTTTTTTAGGCAATATATACATATTTAAAATCAAGCCTTTAAAATTTCACGCCTTTAGTGCCAGCACTCGGGAGGCAGAGGCAGGCGGTTCTCTGTGAGTTCGAGGCCAGACTGATCTACAGAGCTAGGTAGTTTCAGGTCAACCTCCAAAGCAATACAGAGAAACCCTGTCTTGAAAAACAAAACAAACAAACAAACAAAAAATTAAGTAAATTTTAAAATTTATTTTAAACGTGTTCTTGCTCTGTAGCCCAGTGTCTTCCTGCCTCAGCTTTCCAGTGCCTGGCTGTTGGTATAGTTTTGTGATAAATATTTTGAGTTTCTGTCATTTATCTGTTTTTGAAAGTCTTTTGGTATATCTAGTCATTTTTATTGCCCTTAGGCGTGGATTTGCTAGACAACAAGGTAAATGGGTATTTTGATTTTAACTTTAGCTTTGTGACCTTGAAGGACAGTGACAGTAATTGTTGTCACTTAACCTATACTATAAAATAGGCCAACCCTTCAAAAGGGGGACAGGTTTAGACAGTGCTGTGGCTTGGCATAGTTGATGGGATTATCTGACCTCCAGTGTCAAGGATGGGGTAAATCTTTTCATGGGGTTTGTTCTGGTGTTTGGGTGCAATCTTCTGCTGAATGTGAAGTCTCTTTTTCCAAGTATTGCTCTTTGATATCCTCCCCCCATTGGAATATTTTAGAAGAAATGGAGCTGTCACCCACATCAAGATTCAGAACACTGGGGACTACTATGACCTCTATGGTGGGGAGAAGTTTGCCACCTTGGCTGAACTGGTCCAGTATTACATGGAGCATCACGGGCAGCTGAAAGAGAAGAATGGAGATGTTATTGAGCTAAAGTACCCACTGAACTGCGCAGACCCCACCTCTGAAAGGTCAGTGACATCTTAGTGCAAATCTGCACTCTAGGGCTCTGTGCTGAGTGCCTGCCTTGTGGGGTGCATAGGATGTGACTCCAAGGCTGGTGTCTCTCTCATGTCAGATTTTGAATGTTGTGTTTTGTTTGTGACAGGGTCCAGTGTAGTCAGGGTGACCTGGAACTCTTTGTGTAGCTGAGGGTGACTGCATTCTTGGTCCTCTTGCCTCTACCTCCTGAGCGCTAGGGTTACAGACATGCCTCACCATGCCTGGCTTATGTGATACTGGAGATTGACACAGGCTTGGCCATGCCAGGGAGGTTCTTTAGACACTGAGCTACATCCCCAGCCCTGCACTGTATTAAAGTAAGAATGATGGCATCAGAGTATTTGCAGAATGCAGTGTTCCTTACGCTGATTCCACAGGGCTCTCACATTTTCCTGAGTAGATTTAGTGCATGCTTTAATTGTAAGATTTATCTACAGCTGATGAGCTTTGGGAGCCAGGAGAGAAGACGGGATGCTAGAGATGCTGAAACAGCAGCAGTGCTCCTTGGTGGCACAGACTGTTGTTCAGCAGCACTACCAACAGAGGTCAGGCCAAGCCCACGGCTCTCCATCCTTCCTTTAGTGTTGTCTCCCAGATGTGCAAGCATGACTGTCTGCAGAGAGCTGCCACTGTGTCTGTAGAGAACTGCCTTGATGTACAGCTCTTCCCAGGTGTTCAGGGTTGAGAGCTAGTGCTTGCTTTATTTGTCCTGGCATTGGCTTCTGCAATCTCCTTTCTGATTGCAGGTTCTAGGTCTGTATATCTTGTCTTTCCCTGATTTCTGTATTATGTGCATACCGTAATTCAGAAATGTATCATTTCCATTCCATTAAAACTTGACTGATAACCCAGTGTAGTCTGAAGAACTGGACAGCAGATTGATAGACATTTAAGTATAGGTTGGAAATGCAGAAATATCTGAAATGCCTTGAATTAATTTATAACAAAGATCCATTTTTATCTAATGTCAAAATGATCACAGAGTCATGATTATTTTGTGTCTTTCATAACTTGTTTATTTGTTACTTGAGGCCAGGTCTCATGCAGTCCTGGCTGGCCTCCTATTGGCTGTGTACCTTTTATTCCTCAACTTTTGCCTCCATTTCCTGGTGAATGATGTCTTAGGGTTTCTACGACTGTGACCAAAAGCAACTTGGGGAGGAGAGAGCTTACTTCATCTTACAATTTATAGTTCATCATTCAGGGAAGTCAGGGCAGGAACCCGGAGGCAGGAACTGATGTAGGGGCCATGTTTACTGGCCTACCCTCTTGGTTTGCTCAGCCTGCTTTCTTATAGCACCCAGGACCACCAGCCCAAAGGATGGCATGGCCAGCAGTGGGCCATGCCTCCTCCATCAATCGTCACCTAAGAAAATGCACCATGGGCTTGTCCACAGACTAATCTGGTAGGGACATTTTCTCAAATTGAGTCTCTCTCTTCTTAAATAACTCTAGCTTGTATGAAGTTGACATTAAATTAGTAAGCACACATGAATTAAAGGTATGTGCCACCAGGCCCGTTTGTAACTTGCTTTCTTTCTTTCTTTCTTTCTTTCTTTCTTTCTTCCTTCCTTCCTTCCTTTCTTTCTTTCTTTCTTTTTTTTTTTTTTTTTTTTTTTGAGACAGGGTTTCTCTTTATTGCTTTGGAGGTTGTCCTGGAACTTGCTCTGTAGACCAGGCTAGCCTCAAACTCAGAGATCTGCCTGCCTCTGCCTCCTAAGTGCTGGGATTAAAGGCGTGAGCCACCAACGCCTGGCTTTTTAATGTTTTGTTTTGTGTACCTTTTTCTGACCTCTTCACTAAATGGCTGTAACTCGATAGTTGGTTCTTTTAGGGTTAGACACTTAAAAAAAAAAAACCATCAACTGCATTTTTAAAAGATGGGAGAGTTAAAAGAGAAAATAGAAAGCATTGAAGCATTGAGGATATTGTTCTCTCTCTCTCTCTCTGTCTGTCTGTCTGTCTGTCTGTCTTTTTAAGATGGTTTCTCTGTATAGCCCTGGTTGTCCTAGAACTCTCTGTAGACCAGGCTGGCCTCAAACTTAGAGAGCTGCCTGCTTCTGCCTCCTGAGTGCTGGGATCAAAGGAGTGCGCCACTATGATCTGTCAAATACTGATTTCAAATGATCCTAGCCTCCTTTTTAAATTTAGTGGAGGCTAGGTGTGGCGGCACTGCTGGTAGTCTCAGCAGGCAGGAGCCTGAGGGAGAAGGATCCATGGCTCAAGACCAACCTGGGCCACACAATGAGATTGCCTCAAAAAAGAAAAACTAGCTTTAGTTGTAATTTTTAGCGTATCTTTGTCATATTTCCTGTCTGTTTGGGATGCAGAGTCTGTGTAGTCAGATACTCTGTCCCCTGGAGTGTCTGTTTGGAAGCTGTGTTGAGAACTGACTGTATGGTACATGAAAAATAGTGCACACCCCAGCTGAACTCAGCTTGCTTTCTTTTCAAACATGTAGGTGGTTCCATGGTCACTTGTCTGGAAAAGAAGCAGAGAAATTGCTAACGGAGAAGGGTAAGCATGGCAGCTTCCTTGTCCGAGAGAGCCAGAGCCACCCTGGAGACTTTGTTCTCTCTGTCCGTACCGGTGACGACAAAGGGGAGAGCAATGATGGCAAGTCCAAAGTGACCCACGTCATGATCCGATGTCAGGTAGAGCATGGGGACTGTGGGTCTGGTACAGTAGCATCGTGGGGGCTTCTGCTGAGAGACACAATACATCCAGATTATTTTATCCTTGTTTACTTACTCATGGCTGTCTCTTCCGTGTATGTCTCGTTGTTTTGAAGTACTTACTTTTATTGTTTTTCTTTTTTTGTTGTTGTTTTATTTTTGTGTTGACTTTTTGTTTTTGTTTTTTTTTTTTTTTTTTTGAGACAGGGTTTCTTTGTTGTAGCCCTGGTTGTCCTGGAACTCGCTATGTAGACCAGGCTGGCCTTGAACTCACAGCGCTCTGCCTACCTCTGCCTCCTGAGTGATAGGATTAAAGATGTGAGCCACCGCTTCCAGCTGTTTTGTTTTTCTGAGATAGGATGTCTCTGTGCATCCCTGGCTGTCCTGGAACTCACTATGGAGACCAGCCAGGCCTGCAACCGACAGAGATCTGCCTACTTTTGCCTCCCTAGTGTTGCCACCATGCCCAATTTTCCATTTTAGTTGCTCTTTTGGGTGCATCTCTGACACGCTTCAGGGCACACTGCCTCTGCTCTGTGGGATCGGCTGCCCTAAGGAGCGTCACAGGCTGTTGACACTGCTCCTGGTCCTCCATGTCTGTAGACTCACCCCCTGGGGCCAACAGGTGCGGGTGGGGTGGATAGCTCACTACAGTCTTCAGCATCCTGTCTGTCTAAACATGTGCAGACTTTCACGTCCCACCTGGCTTCACAGCTGTGTAGGTGATGTCATGTGAGCACCGACGGCACACTAGGCGTGGTGAGGGGTCTGGAGGTGGTGGGGAATGTGCTGCAGCCACGTGGAGTGTATGTTTGATTTTGAATTGAGGGTTGTATTGTTTATTGTTTATGGTGCTGGGATGGAACCTGTTCCCCCACTGAGTACCCCCCATCCCCCCCCCCCTCCCTTTATCAGTGCTGTTGCTTCCTTTCCCTCACAGTACTGTGGGCACCGGGCTCTCTGTTTCTGGGCCTCAGTCTCTGGCCTTTGGTTGTTTTTTTTTTTTTTTTTTTTTTGCAGTCAGGCTCATTAAGTGAGCCCATCACCTTGTCACACTTCAGGTGTCCTCCTGGCACAGCTCTAGTGCATGGAGCCCTGCCCACTGTTGTTACCATGCTGTGTAGGTTGTCCTGAGCCCGTTTACCATACAGAGAGGGTCTGTGTGTCACCAGTACCTTCCCCTGCACCCAAGTCCTTCATCACCCTGGTCTGCGCTCTTGTCACAGTGCATTGGCCGTGAATGAGGTGACACACGTTTCTTCAGGACGCGGCTTATTCCATTTACTAGCAGGGCCTCCTGCCTCGCCCCTCACCCCGCTGTAACCAGTGACAGTTTTCTTCTCAAGGCCCAGCGCAGCCCTACTGTGGAGACAAGGACATGATCTTGTGTGTCTTGTTCTCATCATGCCCTCTAGACAGACATGTGGCTTGGTTGTGCAGGTGTGCAGGTGAAGTGTCGCTAAGAGCACAGGGGCTGCAGGAGGGTGGGAAGACAGCGGTAGCATGAAGTAAAGAGCACCGTCTGTTTGCTCTCGAAAGGAACTGAAGTATGACGTCGGCGGAGGAGAGCGCTTTGACTCTTTGACAGACCTGGTGGAGCATTACAAGAAGAACCCCATGGTGGAGACGCTGGGCACAGTCCTGCAGCTCAAGCAGGTCAGGGAGCTGAAGGTGCTAAGGGTTGCCAGCGCGCTAGCATGGAGTCTGGCCACAGCTGCTGCTTTGGGCCCGTGGCGGCACCTTTACCATGGTGGGAGCACTTGGGGGCTGTTCACCATGGCTGAGAAACAGAGACATGAAGGGCCCCGATCTGCCCCAGTGACCTGCCTCCACCCCCACCCCTTCCCCCTTGTCTGCTACCTGCCAGGGCCACTTAGCCTTCAGCATGTGACCCTTTGGGTGACATTCAAGATTCATAGGGTAATGCAGAAGTGGGCAGAGTATCAGTAGGTCCTCGTAGTGTGCCGTCTCCATCATGCCATAGTTTCTTCACTCACAGATCACCTCCTTTAGTATTTGGAAACAAATTCTAGATGATGTCATTTCCACATTTGTGAGAGGCCTCAGGGTGTTTTGTGTTGGGGTTGAACCCAGGGCACACCACACTTGAACTCTGGGGTCTGTGGCATACCTGCCTCCTTACGGAGGAATCAAACCCCAGGGATATGTGCATGCTAGCAAGTGCTCGCCACTGAAGTACATCCCAGTGCCCACATATACAGACTTTACTTTGTTTTTTGTTTTGATAACTAGTCTTGCCACGTAGCCCTGCTAGTCTCATGTCCTTCCTATCTCCATGTTGGGCTTAAACATACGTGCTTGTGTGCCCTTTAAAAGAAGTCTTCAGGGGCTCAGTGGTTGGGAGCACTGATTACTCTTCCAGAGGACCTGGGTTCAATTCCCAGCACTCACATGGCAGTTCACAACTCTCTGTAATTCAAGTTCCAGCGGTTCTGACTCTCACACAGACATGCAGGCCAAACACTAATGCACATTAAAAAAAAAATAAAGTACCGTTAGTTCCCTTTAGGGCTTATGCTTTCTCAGCTTGGAGTTTTTGCTGTTTATTTTTTTTTAACTTTATATTGATTCTTTGTGAATTTTATGTCATGCACCCCAATCCCACTTATCTTCCCATCCCTGTTCTGCCCTTGTGTTACAACACTTCCAAAAGGGAACAAACACAAGCAGATTTCTCAGTGGAAGCTGCGGTGTGTCACACAGTATACCCTTTTGTCCAACAGCTTCAATTGCAGCTATTCATTGCAATGAGTCATTGGGCTGCTTCGAGCCCCCGGCTTCTGTTGCACCGTCAGTACTGGATCCTCCCCTGGAACCCTGTCGGATACCCTGTTGCCCTCCCTATGTTGTGGAGATCCTGCAGCTTGGTTCTGCCGGGCCGGCCCCTTCACACACTCCAGGAGTTCATGGATGGGATAGCTGTTGGGGTGGGTCAACTCAGAGCCCTGAGTGAGGGTCTGGATGGTAGCTGAGTTGGTCAGCCCTCCTGCACCCTAGACACCAGGGCCAGCGCTCCTGATTTGCTCAGGTGAGAGGTGGGGCCAGCTCTTCTGCCTGTGGCAGCTGGCAAGGGGCAGGACAGGCTCTCCCTAGCTCGGCTGTTTCACTTTTATGACATGGTCCCGTCAGGAAATCGAGCTGTAACTACTGCCTAGAAGTCTAGGTTTGAATTTGTATCAGCTGAGTTCCTAAGACTTTCATTGAGAGTGAAGAGACATTCCCCGATGGAACAGGAGAGAAAGCGCATTTCCGAGGGTTTGATGGCTGGGCTGGCTCATGGTGGCTCTGGTAGAGTGCTGGTGCTTTCGAGTTCTATCTCTGCAGCCCACCTAAACAAGGAAGGGGAACCCTCTCTTCAGTGCTACCCGTGGTCTCCGCCATGTCACCGTCATGCATACATGCACACACATCTCAGCCACCACACAGATACACACACTCATGCACACACACAGGCTCTTGCATACATGGAGATATCACACTCAAATGCACCACACAAACACGAACACATCCACAGGTATGCATGGGTACAGAGATGCACACATGCACGTACATGTATAATAGACACTCACACACGTGCATATATTGGGGTGATGTATATCATCCTCCCTTTGCTTTCGTGAAGTCTTTTTCGTTCCACATTAATGTTGTTAATGTTTTCTTCCTTTCCCACCACTGCTGAACACAACAGCCCCTCAACACAACTCGCATTAATGCTGCTGAAATTGAAAGCCGGGTTCGAGAGCTAAGCAAGCTAGCTGAGACCACAGATAAAGTCAAACAGGGTTTTTGGGAAGAATTTGAGGTAAGTCTCTGACAAATTGTTTTTTAAATATTTTATTTATTTTTATTTTATGTGCATTAGTGTTTTGCCTGCCTGTATGTCTGTGTGAGGGTGCCGAGTCCTCTAGAACTGGAGTTACAGGCAGTTGTGAGCTGTCATGTGGTTGTTGGGGATTGAACCCTCTGGATGAGCAATCAGTGCTCTTAACCATTGAGCCATCTCTCTAGCCCCCTGATAAATTGTTTTTATATGAGTTATTAAATGCTATTTTAATAGGTGAGAAGAAAGTCTGGCTTCCTTTGTTGTGGCATGGAGCATGTCACTCAGGGGACTCCTTTGAAGTAGAAAGACATTGTGTTCCTGGGAAGGGGTTGGCAGGTTGTCTCACTCAGATGGATGAGCCTGCCGCTCCATTTGTTGGTTCAGATCACTGGCAGAACCCTAGAAAAACAAAAGGGTCGAATTCCTCTGGCATGCAAGGTGCTTCAGACAAACTGAAGCTTCATTGCTTTGAGTGTGGCCAGAAGGAGGCCCTGGTTTGTTTCAGCCGTGAGTTCACACTGAGAACAAGTTAAGGGGCTGCTGCTGTCTGCCCTGCAGCTCATGTGCTGCTGAGCCATGCATCCTCTGGTCTGTCTGTCTCTGCATGTGCATTTGACTGGAGATTTGACCTATTTCCTTCCACATTCACACTCCTTATGTCACTCATATCTGCACACAGCTCATTTTATACTTGGTTTTTGTTTCTCTGTAGCTCTGGCTGTCCTGGAACTCGATCCGTAGACCAGGCTGGCCTTGAACTCACAGAGATCTGCTTGCTTCTGCTTCCTGAGTGTTGGAATAAAAGGTGTTTGTAGGTCTGCCCAGTTTAAAGAATATTTTTAATTTTTTTCTTTGATAGTTTGATATACAGCTGTCTTGCTGAATCCCACCCTCACCCATTTCCCCCTCCCTCTCCCCACTTTCTGTTTTACAGGAGTGGTTAGTCCGAGCTTTGTATAGGACTTGAGGATTCACAGCTATTTGTGCCACCATGTGCCAGGCAGCTTTCGGAGAGAGGTGCTAGTTCCATTCCACAGAGGAGCGTGAGGTCAGAGAGGTCAAGTAGATTGCCCTCCTTCTTTAGCACAGACGCTGACAGTCTCAGTCCTGGGGATGGGTTCATTCTAGAACATTCCTGGTGATTGCTCTGCAGTGATGGGCGGGGACTAGAACTTGGGTCTGGTGTCATACCAGGCATTGGGGTGAGCTCTTCCAACACTGGCGGTGGGATGGGGCAGAAGCAACAGACAGGGTTTCCTCCACTCAAGTTTCTTGTTGAGAGAGGGAGGACAGGGATGAGGGCATCAATGGTAGTGTGATGAGAGCAGAATGAGTCACGAGGCAGAGCATGTGCTGTCCCACTGAGCTGTAACCCACCCATCTTGTCTCTTTTTTAAAGTATTTCTATGAAGATGAGCCTTTTTTGTCACCAGTACCTACATCCTTGCTCACCAGTCAAATACTGGACTCATTTTCTTGCTCAGTTTAAAAAATAATGCTTCCCAGCATATTGATTACTTTAAAATCATGGGTATTTTCATACATGAGAGTTGAGAGAGAAAGAGGAGCTGGAAATAAGCTCTTGAGAGCTGATTGCTCCTGTGGAGGGCCAGCTATCTAAATTCTCCAGCGCCCTATCCCCGCCAGGGTCTTCTAAGTGTTGTAGGAGCAGGTTCCCCTTACCTAATTTTGACTTGGGCACCTTAAAGATAGAAGAGATGATAGGCCTCAGCTTGAGATATACGTGTTCAGGTTTGGCCTCAAACATAGCCTGTACCATTTCAGCCAGAAGCCAGCCCTGCTGTGGGAAACAAGCCTGCCACACCAGGCCCTTAGGGCAGGAGGTGAGGAAGAAGCTGGGAGTTCGCCGCCCTCCATGTCTATCCTGGCCCCTTTCCCTGTCTGCACCTGTCAAGGATCTGTATGGCTCCTAGTCCCTCCTCTCCTTCCCAATGCTGGGGTTCTGGTATGTACCAGCTGCCCAGCTCACCCTTGCTGTGTCTGTGGAAAACAAATTGTAGATGCCTTTTTCTGAGACGCATCAAATTTAGTCCACCCTTTGTTTATACATCAGTAACAACAGAAAAGGGCAAAAGTGAATGGCTTTGTGTGTGGGGTTGTGGAAAACAGTCAGGGTCCCATCTGTACTGCCCAGTTAGAAACAGTGTCAGCACATTGAGGAGTCCTGCAGATAAAGCTGTCTGTGTGAATGAGGGCCAGCTTTCAACATTCATTATCCCTGTCTCTCCAAGTCAGTCTGGAGTCAGGGGCATGAGCCTAAGGACAGAAAGGCCATTGCAGGGGTTTGCAAGTACACCCCTATAATTTCAGTCCCCATAAGAACTGAAGTTATAGCCACATCCCCAGGATGCTGTTATGTTAGTGACCACATCAGAATTGCTTCCTAGAGAGTTAATACAGCCTTCCCCAGTGGACTCTAATGAGGGGGACTCTGTCTTCCCTGGTGCACTGAGATGGGGACCTGCCTTTCTCCATGTGCTCTGATGGTTTTTCATAGTGCGAATTCTATAACTTGTTTTGCTGCAGGGCATTATTATTAGAAAGAGAAGGCTGGAGGGAGCAGGTTGTGAAGCCATCAGCCTTTACTTGGGACATATTAAGAGACTTTTTGTTTTTTAAATACCTCTTCAGAATTCAGCTTCCCCCTTAGGGGAGCCCTCCCCATGCCCCATCTCCATTGCAAGCTGGGGACTAGATGTTGTATATGTGCATAGGAATTTATGATAATCTGTTGTTATTGTCTTAATGCACCCCAAACGCATAGAAGCAGGTGATTTTAGTGAGTCTGTTGGGGGGAAGGAGTACTTTGCCCACATGAAGCTGCTGAGGGAGGAAGAGGGTGTGTGCCATCTAGGACAGTGACCAGTGCATTGAGAGCCCCAGGACATCCCTGCTTGGTTCCCTGTAGCCTCAGAAGCTGGCAGATAGCCCTCCCACTCCCCTGTAACGAGTATTGAGTGATGGCATCTCCCATCACTCCCCCACTTCCAAGTGGGCTTCTGATAAAGTTTTGTGGATGTATTGAATCTTGAGAGAGCTGTGTTGTGTTCAGACCCTGGATCTAGATTGGTGGCTTGGAGTTGTGTTCTGGGCTTTGCTTTGAGAAACTCTCTTTACTAGTATACATACAGCTTACTTCATGAGTCTCTGATGGAGCCTGGGGTGTGCGCAGCTGAGACAGAGTTCTCCAAACACACATGCCCCAAGCGTGCAGCTGAGATGGAGATCTGATTTAGGCTCACAGGGCTGGACTTGAGAAAGATTTGAGTTTCTCAACTCAGTGTTTTTAATTAAATCTGCAGCACATGACAAGGGGGAAAAATCCAACAGACAAAATCATAGAGCATCTGATTTCCTGGGGTCACTTTTCCCGGTAAAGTCCTTTTCCTTAGTCTATCCTCCCTTCAGAGGGCACCGGGCCTGGCCTGTGGTTCTGCTTGCTGGAGGCTGGGAGGAGCCTAGCTGTGAGGAGCGTGGGGGGGCTTTCACCTGCAGCCCCACCCCCACCCTGATTTCTCCACAGTGATTCTGCCCTGCTTGCAGGCACTGTGACTTTCCTCAGTGTGGTTTTACTGAAATAAAGCTTTACTGCACCCCAGGGCTCTGTCTAGAGGAATAATTTTTGCTGGTGAGCTCTGGTGGACATCTTCCCCTGGTGACTAAGCACTCAGCACTGAATGACAACCCCTAGCAGGCTCCAGCTGCAAGCTCCAAATGCTCCAGGTCACAGGCTAATGGCAAACCAGAACCTTCCCTGGGGGCCCCAGCTTGAGAAAAGAGCATCATCTTGTCAGACAGAGAGCAGTTTCAGGGTCTGAGGTTTCCTTCCTCAATCTAAGCTCAATCCAGTTTCCTACATCACAGCTCTCCCTCTGCTGACCCCCATTCCTACATTATAGCTCTCCCTTAGTCCCCCTGTCCCCACACCACAGATGTCCCTGTCCCCCTGTCCCTACACCACAGCTGTCCCTGTCCCCTTGTCCCTACACCACAGCTGTCCGTCTGCTGCCCTCATGCTCTTCTCTTTAGGGTTTTATTGGCTGTGGCTCTGGAACGCCACATGCCCGTATGTTCTCTTCCTTCTGTTAGCCTTGCCACAGATGACCTTATTGCTTCCTCTTAGGTCATGAGTGGCCCTGATGTAGCTTCCGTGTCTTTTCAGCCCCTTACTTCTTTGTAGCCTAGACTGACCTCAAACTCATGACACTGGGGAGACCTTGAACTCCTTGCCTCTACCTTCTAAGTAGCCTGTTTTTTCAGTGCTGGGGGATAAGCCCACTAGCAACCGAGGTACATACTCCCTTTCCCATTTTTTTTTTCGGTATTTATGACAAGCCTGTGCTGACCTCCAACTAAGTACTGGGTTCACAGGCATTCACCAACATGCCTTGCTTTTTAAAAAAAAATTGAGATAATGATCTCTCTCTTTCCCTTCCCTCCTTCCCTCCTTCCCTCCTTCTTCCCTCCTTCTTCCCTCCTTCCCTCCTTCCCTCCTTCCCTCCTTCCCTCCTTCCCTCCTTCCCTCCTTCCCTCCTTCCCTCCTTCCCTCCTTCCCTCCCTCCCTCTCTCCCTCCCTCCTTCCCTCCTTCCCTCCTTCCCTCCCTCTCTCCCTCCCTCCCTCCCTCTCTCTCTCCCTCCTTCCCTCCTTCCCTTCCTCCCTCCCTCCTTCCCTCCCTCCCTCTCTCCCTCCTTCCCTCCTTCTTCCCTCCTTCCCTCCTCCTTTCCCTCCCTCCCTCCCTCCCTCCCTCCCTCCTTCCCTCCTCCTTCCCTCCTTCCCTCCTTCCCTCCCTCCCTCCCTCCCTTCCTCCCTCCCTCTCTCCCTTCTTCCCTCCTTCCCTCCTTCTTCCCTCCTTCCCTCCTCCTTCCCTCCTTCCCTCCTTCCCTCCCTCCCTCCCTCCCTCCCTCTCTCCCTCCTTCCCTCCTTCCCTCCTTCTTCCCTCCTTCCCTCCTTCCCTCTTCCCTTCCCTCCCTCCCTCCCTCCCTCCTTCACTCCTTCCCTCCCTCCTTCTTCCCTCTCTCCCTCCCTCCCTCCCTCCCTCCCTCCCTCCCCCTGCCATCACCCATCCCTTCAGTTTTCCTGTTTTTCTGATCTGTCACCGGAGCCTTGCCTGTCCTTAGTGCATTCTTTCCCTGCCTGCCTCTGACTCAGCAGCACATGGCTACTCATCTGGGCTGATCTCACCCGGCCTCGGCACCCCAAGCTTCTGCTGCTTTGGGCACTGACTTCATGGTTGGGGGTTCCCACTCTGCTCACTTGTCTTTGCTCTTCAGACTCGTGCTTCCCAAACAGACCATTTCCTTCTAGAGATCAAAGTTCTTTTACTTGGTATATTTGGAGGTCCCACATTACTCTGGAGTTGAAGGGTCCTTGGTGTCCCTTTATGCAATTTTCTTCTCTTTCTCCTATGGCTAGACATTGGGAGTCCTGTTGTCCCTCCTACTGTGAGTCTGCCTTTCTTGGGAAGGAAGGAATTTTCATTGTGTCTTGCTGAGTATTGAGCCAAGTGACCATCGAGTTGTATCCCCAGATGCTTGGAGAGATATGAGCTTGTCCAGGGTGGCTCAGGTGGACAGGGGATGGAGACAGAATTTCAGCCTGATGCTCAGGTCTCCTCCCTCTGTTCCAGCCTCCTCTGCCACAGCCGTATATGCACCTTCCATGTTTCCCTCAGTATTCACACCTTTCTGTTCCAGAACTTCAGTGGCTCCCTATTTCCGTTTGGAAACATGACCTTTTCATTTTGAAGAACTAAGAATCGGACTCTAAAGTTGTCCCCAGGGATGTGACTGGGGAATGGTTTCAGCTTGGAGATTTCTGGTTTCATGTCCCATTCCAAGCTGGCCTGGCTGTACTTCCTTCCTCCAGCCTGAGACTGTTGTGCCTGGTCCTCTGGTCCTCTGCATGTCCCTGCCTCCCATCTCTCCTCACGTCCTTCCACTGAGTACACAGTGTCTAGATGTGCTGCCCAGTCTCATCCCTATCCCTCGCCCTTCCTGGTGCTCCTGTCATTTCTGTGTGGCCCTGTGACTTCTTCAGCTCTGTCCCAGACCCAGCACAGATGAACAGAGTGTTGTCTTCCGCGAAGCTTTTTGAGTGTATGAGTGTTTTCCCTGTATGTATATTTGTGTTCCACATGTATGCAGTAGCTATGGAGGCCAGAACAGGAACCCTGGAACTAGAGTTACAGAATGTATTGAGCTGCCATTAGGTGCTGGGAACCAAACCTAGGTTTTCTGGAGGAGCAGCCAGTGCTGCTGGGCCATCTCCAGTCCTTAAAACTTTTTGAGGTTGCATACTGGGGTGGTGTCTCCCTACGTCTGGCTGTTTTAACTTATGTAGTCTGCCTGTTGGGTTGCTCTGGCTTTTTTCTCATCTCATGGTTTGGTTGTAATTCCTGGGGAAATGGTATCGCGCAGCCTGCGTCCCAGATTTGCTTTTTGCTCTCTGCCTCTGCCTTGTCTTCAGCACAGCTGAGGTGCTGTGCAGGTCCACAGGAGTGGACGGGACACTGCAGAACACATACCTTGGGAGGTATCCTCCTTCAGGGCAGGGCTACTAGATACAGTTGGACTCCTGCCCCCGTTAGCCTGATGTCTAGGAGGAAGTGGGTCTTGGTGGAGGCTAGCTGCTAATGTCAGGTACAGCTGGAGTGCTGCTGGGGACAGAGGATAGACAATCCTAACTTCTGAGTTCTTATTGGATGGACAGCTAGCTACCCTCACTGTAGAAATAAAAAGGTCTGGGCAGTTTGGGCCCTGGACATTGCATGGAGATGAGCTGCAAAGCAATGGAGGAGAAGCTGAGGTAGGCATTATTATCCACTTGCCATCCCTGAAGGTTGCTAGCTACTGGCAGTTAGCACCCAACTGCTTGGTCTCAGGGCCTGGGCTTGCCATCTCTGGGGCTCTCCAGGGCTCACGGCATGCCATGACCTCTGTAGCATATGCAGAGGCAGAGCTCCTGATGGATGGTCCAGCAAACACATGGGATTGTGTTCATGAATGTGCCCAGGCTTGGAACTCTAGAGTTTACTCTGGCAAGGCGTTATTGGGGCATTCCAATTGCAGTAGCTAAGAATGGGGGTGGGGTCACACAGGATCCCACCTTTTCAGAGGTACCCTGCCACCTGCACTTATGAGTAAATGTCACATGAGGTTTGGCCCGTAGGTGAGGTGATGGTCAAAATTACTGCCAAGTTTAAGTAGAGCTGCAGGTCCTCATCCCCCCACCCCTACCCCACCCCCCATTGCCCCTGGCAGTGCCCTCCAACTCCTTTATTCTGGCTGCTGAAGAACTGACAGATCCCTCTCAATGCTTGACTTCTTTTTGAAATTATCCCTATGACCCATCTACACATCAAGGTCTAGTGCTTTCCCAATAACAATACCAAGTTGAGATCAGGGAATGCCAGCCAGCTCCCAGAAGGCAAATGGCTTTAATTACTTGATTGGAGCTTTTTAAAACTTAGAAACAAACACATAAACAAAAAAACAAAAACAAACTTGAGCAAACATTATACTGTCCAAGTTCTGCACACCTTGTTTTCTTTATGTTTAGATCCCTGCCAGCTAAAGACTTTTTGTTCTGAGCCATGTGCTGAGGCTAAACACTGTGTTTTGAGACTTTGAGCGTCAAAGATTCAGTTTAAATCCCTGACTTCTGTATTCATCTTAGAAATTTCAGATATACAAAGAGGAAGTAGCTCAGGCAGTGGTATTGTGCCAGGTTGGCCCCACCTCTCTTGGCAGAGGTCTTCCCAGGCAGCTGCTGGCATTACATAGAGAAAGGAGACCTTTTCTGTTCAGTTTTCAGTGTCTTTGTCTGTGATTTTCCATCAAAAACCAGTCTGGGGCATTGGTGATGGATCACTGACCAAGCCTGCGCCAGAGACCCCGGGCTCCATCCTCGGCATCCCAGACCGCACAAGCTAGGCTTGCTGAGAGATAGTGAAGAGAACATTTGTCCTTTTGAAAATGAGACCTGCCCCGTGACTGTGTCTCAGGCTGGCAGCCTCTGGACTGTCCTCACTTCCCCATTTCTGACCTGGCCGGTTTCACTGTGGCTGCCTGATCTATCTCTTTCCTTGATAGTGTCCCCAACTTTGTGTCCCACAGAGCTGTCCAACACTTTCTTCTGGAGTCCATCCTTGCTCTCTGCCCTGTCCTTCCAGGCCTGACGCTCTGCATTTTGTCCAGGTTTCCCAGAGGAAGTGAGGGCAGCAGGCTTCTGGACACAGCTGTCATTGAGGCTTGGGTTTGACATGCAAGGGAGGACCCCGAGGCTGTACTAACAGTTGCTTGCCTGTTATCCACTGACACCAAGGTGCTGCTGCCTCTTCTACTGTCCACATTCTACTATTGCCACGGGGCTAGCTCTTGGTTGAGCCGGGTGCAAGGGAGCAGATCCTAAACTCCCGAGGGACAGGGTGCATGTGCTGTTAGTATATCCTATTCCAGCTCTCCTAGTCAGTACTGCCCTCCGGGTCTCAAAAGACTTTTCTTCTCACACACACTGTAGAAAGTTCAGGGGCAATACAGCAAAAGGAAGCAGCAAATCAATCAAACAGAAGGCAGGGGTTCTGAACTCCGTGTCCCTGCTTCCTGCCTGGTGGGTGTGCTGCTACCATTTGTAGGTACATAGGTGAATGTAAGCTCGTGGCTCACATCCCACTCTGTGGGAGTTTGACCAGCTGTGACAATCTTTCCAGATGTTAGTCTGTAGATTGACTCTGTAGAGTCGCAGAACCACAGAGTTTGGTTGTTTCCTCCTTCTGTCCCTCCATCCCTCCATCCCTCCCTCCCATTGTGCTGTGGTCCAGGCTGGCCTTACCGCTGTGCTCCTCCCTCTTGAGCCCTGGGTGGCCTATGGTGACTTAGGAAGCCTTTTCTTGCTGGCTTAGGTCCCTGTGAGTGCTTCTGTCAGGCCATGCTGTGGGGGACGGGTATTGTTCCCATGGGCCTGACTCAACATTCCGCAGGCTGAATGAGCCCTTGAAGCATCATGGCCAGGCTGCTTCTTCCTTTTTCCTTTCCCTGCCTTCTCCCCACTCCTCCCTTCCCCTCTTCTCCATTTTTGCCTTTTCTTTTTTAAGGGGGCACTTTTTACATTTATGTTTATTTTGTACATCTGTTGATTTACGTGTGTGTGTGTGCGCGCGCGCGCGTGTGTGTGTTTGCGCATGTGCTTGCGTATGCATGCACATTTCATGCTACATTGTGCCTGTGGAGATCAGAGGACAACTTTCAAGTTCTTTTCTTTTGCCATGTGGTTCCAGGGGATTGAATTCAGATGGCCAAATGTGGCAAGTGCCCTTACCCTCTGAGCCATCTCACTGTCCTCTTTTGGATATATTTGATACATATTTACTTTTCTTTGCTTCTAGACGCTACAGCAACAGGAATGCAAACTTCTCTACAGCCGAAAAGAAGGACAGAGACAAGAAAATAAAAACAAAAATAGATACAAAAATATCCTGCCTTGTGAGTATCAGTCTCCTGCCTCAGTAGCAGTCACATGCCTGGGATCACATGCTGGCTAACAGATAACCAGCCATAATGGGGACAATGGCCTCCCCATGCCAGTAAAGCTGTAGTGGGAGTCCCTCTGATCATCTTTCCTTCATTTATTCTTACTCCTCCTACATGTAACAACCTCAAGGCTTATGGTGACTCACAGTCACACTAAGTCATGTGCCTCAGAACTGAGAGTTGTGTCTTTCTGAGCTAGGGGCAGGTGCACCTCCTCTGGGCCTTAGTTTTTCATTTGGAAAAGGAGGACTTACTGGGCTCATTGACATCTGCTGGCTCAGCTTGGGCAGATAAGGGACCCTGTGAGTACCACAAAGCTGGGCCCCCTGTGTCATGCACCCTCTGGCAGAGAGCAGAGGCCTTTAGTGAGTGCCCCATCGCTATGCTAGCTGGAGCTCATCTCGCCATGGAGGTGGCTCTGCTGTTGCACATTGTGATGTGACCTAATCTGTAACTAATGTGGATCCAGTGCAGGGTGTTTTGATTTGGAGCACTGGGGATTGAACCTCAAGCCTTTCACACTTGAGACAAGTATTCTGCCACTGTGTTACATCTCCAGGCTGGCCTTTAACTCAGAGATCACCTGCCTCTGCGTCCCGAGTGCTGACAATGCCCAGCTTCTAAGGGTGGGTTCTGAGGATCAAGCTCAGGTCTTCATGTTGAATGGCAAGAACATAGAGACTGAACTTACACGCCCAGCCCTCTTTTTATCTTTTGAGAGAGGCTGTCACTAGTTTGCTCAGGCTGGCCTTGACCTTACTCCGTAGCTCAGACCTCCACCTTTTAATGTCTGGGACCACAGACATTCACCCAGAGGCCCAGCTAAAGCAAATCCTGCCCCCATCTTATTCTACGTGTATGTGTGTTTTGCTTGCATGTCTGTGTGCACCACTTGCATGAAAGCAGGCAGTCTTATTTCCCTCATCTCACGAACTCATTTAGTAAGGCTGCCAGTGGGAGAAGCAGGCACTCAAGCCCCAAGAGCAGTGCTCTTAGCATCGTGTGCAGATGCAAGGTCTTCAGGGTGCTGTGTGCAGGCTCTCATGGGGGAAAGGGGACATTTAGAACCTGGGCACAAATTCATCCTTTATGTAAAAGAAGAGAAAAGAAAGCCGAATCTTCGATGGCCTGCTTAATAGTATACTTCTAAGTTTTCTCCTCTCAGCTCTGCTGGTTCCCACAGTAACATGCAGCTGTAGGAAAAGCTGAAGGGAGCAGTGGCTTACAGTTTCTCAAGGGCCCTGCCTACTCCTGTGTTAATGATCCAGTCAAATGTTTTCAGTGAGCCTGTTTTTTTTTTTTTTTCCTCCTTTCTTTTTTTAAATGTTGATAAATGGACCCAAGGCCTTGCTACACCAGCCCTTTCTTAAAACTTTTGTTTTGAGACAGTTTCAGTAAATTGCCCATACAGGGTTTAAATTTGTGGTTCGCCTGTTTTACCCTTCTGAGTAGCTGGGATTCCAGGCCTGCACCATCCTATGAGCCCTGTTGCTCAGTCCCATTATAGAATATGTTGTTTTTGATAGAGCCCTCAGATTTTTATACCAGTTATGTATTTATGCACAGATTAGGACAACTGATACTTTATTATTAACAAATGGAAGCTGAGTGTACTTGTTGCTCAGCTTCAGCAATAGCCAGCTTTTTGTGCAGTCTTGTTTTGTCCATACTTTGAACCACTTCTCTTTCCCTAGATAATCAGCATTGTTGATATTTTGATCTGTTTAAAAACAAAAACCAGCTGGGGATATAGCTCAGTGGTACAGTGTTTGCCTGGCATGCTCCAGGCCCTGGGTTCAATCCCTCCCTTTACCACCAAAACCCAACAGGAAGAAAAGAGGCACCCAAACCTTTGGGACTCATAAGAAGTTACAAAAATGATGTAGGAGGTTCTCCACACCTGATGCCTGCCTCCCCGTGTTGAATCCTGCACCTCACAGCATCCTGGAGACAGGAAGTTGTGAGAAAGCCGTGGCAGGTCTTGTTAGGTCCCAGTTGATCTTGTGAAGGACTGACTCACTATTAGACAGGTCTGGCTTGAGGCCACCCAGGCTTGTGCTGAAACCCTGAGGACTGACTGGCTGTCATCTCTTTCTCCTCAGTTGATCACACCAGGGTTGTCCTGCATGATGGGGATCCCAATGAGCCCGTTTCTGATTACATCAATGCGAACATCATCATGGTGAGCATGACTCTTGCTGTGTTTTCTGGCCATATGTTGTTAATCTCTTTCTCCCCATGACACCATCTTTCAAGGGGATGAAGGGCTTTTCTTCCTAATTTCTAGCCTGAATTTGAAACCAAGTGCAACAATTCAAAACCCAAAAAGAGTTACATTGCCACTCAAGGCTGCCTGCAGAACACAGTGAATGACTTCTGGAGGATGGTGTTCCAGGAGAACTCTCGAGTCATCGTCATGACCACAAAGGAGGTGGAGAGAGGGAAGGTACGCACAGTTATCTTTTCTGACCACTCATCCCCCACGTTCTGCTCTGGGCTCTGTGTGTGCTTAGCCAGTGTGCCCCCATTGTCTCCAGCACCTGATAAAATGTTCTTGGAATATTAGATGTGAATGGTTCTTCTGCACTGAGCTACACTCCCACCCAGCTGTGCTGCCCTGTAGTGGGTCCATTTTGCCTCTTGCTGGTGTTTGATTGGCTAGGTAGTGTCTTTTACTGTTAGTACACATTAGCCTGAAGCCCTGTGTTTTGTGCTATGGATGAACTGATCCTCTAGCCGCTATAATGTGGTTTTGCTCAGCCGAACAGTCTTGTTCTTTCCTTCATTTCTTCACAGACTGTTTGTCTGGATTAAATGGCATGAATTGTTCAGCCTCTGTGTGTATGTGTTACTTTGGATCAGCTACCTAGTCATCTTCTAGAACTGTGACCCCCCCAACCCCCCAGGCCTCATAGCCTTGAGCTGAGCACCAACACACTCTTAGGATGGTGTGGGCTCTAGGAACTGGGTTCTTAGAACTCAGTGTGCCACACCTCCGGGAAAGCAGACATCTCCTCGTGTTATCTTTGCATCATGTCAAAGTGAAATCAATTTATGGGTTTTTAATATGGAAGTGTCTTGGTTTTATTTGTGTTCTGGGTAGAATTTTTGTTTGAATATCCTTTATTGGTTTATATAAAGATCGAGTGCAGTTTTACAGTCACATGTAGACGCTAACCTGAGACAGATGGGCTCTTGGGAGTTGAGCCTGGCAGCCGAGGGGCAAGTGATTGTGCAGGTTTCTGGTTGGCACACTTCTGCATGTCTTCTGCAGTGATGTCAGGTGTCCCGAGTCCCGGCTTCCTGCATGATGGAGGTGTAAGAGGTCACCTTGGGCCTGTAGCAGAGGAATCGGGTCAGCCACTGTTGGAAGCACAGTTGGAATTTCTAGAGCAGACATATCCGACAGAGATGGACCCGTTGCTCTGCTCTAGTCCTCACCCCAGGAGTGCATGCAGCCTGTGTTCCCACTGCATGGAGAGAAAACCAGATTGGGACAGCTCTCCTGCACAGCTACCCTGCAACACTGGGAAAACTGGGCAGAGGGCAGTAGCTGCAAGTGTTGAGAGTCAGCTAAAATGTTCATTTTCAAGTCATGATGACTTTGTGTTCTCTGCTGAGGCCTCTGTGGTGAGCAGAGCAGTCTCTGAATTGATTGTCCAGAAAACAGCACCATTTCACTGGGGGATGATAGACTCCTATCGGATCTGTCAAACACAGGCAAGATGGGATTTAAATAGGAGACCACAGCATTCCTTCAGCCTCTTCTCTTAGGGTCCTCTCTGGGTTAATCACTGAACGCTGTAGCTAGCTGTGTTCATTTCTTATCATCTGTAAGCTGATCTGTATTCCTAGTCCTCAGTGCAGATTTCCCTTGCTGATGTTGGCATTGTTGGTTTTAGAAAGTGAGTATCGTGGGTGATTGCTTCCAGAAAGAGAATCAGAACATGCTCTGCCTGAGACTTATCACCTGGTAGATGCAAGCTCATCCCTCTGCTGGACAAGAAAGGTCTCTTTCCTTTACATCATTGTTAATTATCTTTGTCAACTGCCTGCTCTGTTTTTTGTTATTCTTATTTGTTTGTTTGTTTGTATTGAGACTGGATCTTTCTGTATGGTTCTCACCGGGCTGGCCTTAAAGGTGAAGTGATTCTCCTGTCTCTGCTGTCTGGGACTACAAGTGTACACACTCAGCTTTCAGTCCATATGTTCAGGGTCCTACTATGCAGCTCTGGTTGGCCTGGAACTTGCTCTGTAGACCAGGTTGGCCCCGCGCTCACAGAGACCCCTCTGCCTCCCACGTACTGGAGTGTGCTTGTTCCATTGGTTCTCGAAGGCAGCAGCTATTGCAGACTGTGTTCTCAGTTCTGGGAAGCGGGGGTGTGTGGCTGGTGTATGTGATGAGTCCTGGTATAGCGAAAGCAGTGATGGCATGGTGTCAGTGTCCTCAGAATGACTGGCGGAGCGCTGGGACTGGACATTCTGCTTGCCAGGGGGCAGTCTTGGATTGACTGGTCCCTCCCACTTGGCTTCTTTCATCCTTGGAGCTGACCAGGCTCTCCTTCCCTCCTTTGGCCTGCTTTGTTTATTTGAATTACTCCTTCCTTTTCTTGGCAGCACAAAGGAAGGTGGTATGCTCCTTTCTTGCTGTTGTCCCTAGCAGGACTGGGACAGTTGTTCACTGCTGGTTTGGACATTAACAGGCTCTCTCTGGTCCCTTCCAGAGCAAATGCGTCAAGTACTGGCCTGATGAGTATGCACTCAAAGAATATGGGGTCATGCGTGTTAGGAATGTCAAAGAAAGTGCCGCTCATGACTACACCTTAAGAGAACTCAAACTCTCCAAGGTCGGACAAGTAAGTATATTGTCGTATTCTAAAGAGACCGTGAGGCTTTCTGTGGTTCACAGTCATTGAGGCAATCCTGCCCGCACTCACCCTTCGTCCTGTGTCCTGTCACTCACTGATTGAATGGCCACATTGAGTGCCTCATAGGTTCTGTGCCCAGTTCAGCTCTGCTGTGCCTTGGAAGCAAGACAGGCACAGGTCCTCTCTACACAGAGCCTGGAGAGATGTAGGTAAATGTAACTACCAGCTTCCTGATGCTGCTGGCCTCAGCTCCTGTGACATGTTCTAGAATGACCAGTAAACTGGGTGATAATGGGACATGCCTTTAATCCCAGCACTCGGGAGTCAGAGGCAGGCGGATCTCTGTGAGTTCTAGGCTAGCTAACTACATAGCTAGTTCTAGGACAGCTAGAGCTACACAGAGAAAACATGTCTGGGACCCCCCCCCCATAAAAAAACCAAGTAAAAAAATGACTGGTGCATGAGAGAGGGAGGGTATGGAGGAGCCCCTGAAGGGTGGTGCTGCGGAGATGTCAAGTGGGGGAGTCATGCATGCAAGCAGAGGGAGCACGGAGCAGGGAGCACCCCATGCCTGTCTGTTGTCAGGGTTGTGTTTGTTTCTCTGTGTAGCCCTGGCTATCCTGGAACTCACGCTATAGACCAGGCTGGCCTCAAACTCACAGGGATCCCCCTGCCTCTGCCTCATGAGTGCTGGGATTAAAGGTGTGTGCCACCATGACTATTTTTATTTTATTTTGTTTACTTATTTAGTTTGAGACTGAGTCTCACTCACTCCGTACCACTGGTTGGCTGGGTACTTGCAATATAGACCAGGCTGGTTTCAGAATCACAGAGATTCACCTGCCTCTGTCTCTTATGAGCTGGGATTAAAGGTGTGGCCCACAATGCCTGGTTCCTGGGCATTAAAGTTTATGTATTTATTTACTTTTACATATGCTTGCATGTGCACAGAGGCTAGAGGACAATAATAGGAATTGGTTCTCTCCCTCTACCATGTGGTTTGAGTTACTATATTGAGCTTTGAGTTTTATCCACCACATGGAACTTGTCTCCATTCTTGTGCCCAGTGAGCAGGTATGAAGCTGATTACAGGGGTCTCTGCAGCCTTTGGGAAGGGACAGAGGGGATGTGACTACTAGCCATGAGGTCCTAGGAAACTTCTGTGTTAGTCTAGGCCTCTGGCCTGCTCTCCATGTCTCCGGCAGTGGGTTCTTCCTGCTGTACTTATTCCTTTGGTTGAGAACAGACTGGAAGAGACCAGTGTTAGCCCCTGGGAAGGCATTTGCAAGGCATCCAGACAGTGTGACTATTGAAGGGGAAAGAGAGACCAAAGGTGTCACAGAACTTTGAGTCTGACTGGACGTAGTGTGTCAGATGTGAGAAAAGTCAGGAGCAGAGCGGCTGTGTGGACATCCACATCCTGGCATCCTTGAGCTGAGCCTTTGAGTGGGCAAATCCATCGGGTGGCTGGGCAGTGATGAGTGCACACATCTATCAGTTCTAGCACTGTGCTGCTTGCTGGAGACAGAGCTGGGGAGTAATCAGGGATCGTCCCCGCTCTCTTAAGTTACATTCCACTGTCTAGAATATTTTGAGCTCAGAATCACACTATATGTCACTGTAGAGTGCAGTTAGGGCCAAGTTACAGGACACAGTGTGTTGAGATGGGTCAGGATGGAGGTTGACACTTACCCTCTGCCCTGTAGAACTGGGGGGGGGGGGGCTGAGGCCATTGCAGGTAGAACTTAGGACCAATTGGAGGCTGCTGCCTAGGGTGGTGAGATGGTGGGGCTTGGCTGGGGTAGTGGCAGGGGAACTGGACAGCAGAGGGCTGACTTGGGGTCCTTGTAGAGGAAAATGATGGGTTAGTTGCTGATGAGCCCAGCATGATCTCCAGATTTGCAGGGCGGGCTGCAGGAGGAGCAGCAGGGATCCTGTGGAAGTGGCTTTGAGCCATGGAAGTTGGGCAGAGGGCAGTGACTTAGTGCATTGTGGGTGGGCTGTTCCCCCAGTGGTGCTGGGAGGGCAGGAGGAACAGAGCCTAGGGCTGATGATGAGTGGAAAAGGATCTGTTTCATGTGCTCTCTGAAGGGTGTGTGCATGGTGTGTACACACTACAGGAGATGTGTTCATCATGGCACACCTGTGGAGGTCAGAGGACAACTTTGAGGAGTTGGCTCTCTTCTACCATGAGGATTCTGAAGATTGAACTTGGTTGTCAGGTTTGGTGGCTGGGGCCTGGACTCACTGAGCTGCCCTGCCAGCTCTCTTGTGAGATTTAATGCTTCTGAGTAGCAAGCAGTTTCTTTCCCTCAGTGATAGTGAGAAGCCCCCGCCCCCAATGGTGTGACTGTGCTGTGTGACTTGTCTCTGGGTACTGAGACAATGCCACAGGGCTTGCTCCATCTTGCTTGCCTGGAGATTTTGAGAGGGAGGTGTGGGAGATGTTGGCTTTTATCCTGGCGAGGAGGCTGATGTGGACCCCTCTGGCTCCTGTCTTGCTGATGACAGACCACCTACTTGTACAGCACTAATGTGCAGCAGTACCTTGGCCTAGAAGGGGTTGCTACACAGTGAGCCTGCCTGTGCATGCTCCATTTCTCTTGCTGGCCTGTCTGTGACCCACGAAACTATCTGAGTTTCAGGGCACTTAGTAACGACAAAGCTAGTTTTCCATGACACCAGCAAATTAAATTCGTGTAGCACACCAAGAGAGTTTTTAATCGCGGCAAGAGTCCGTGGGTATGGGAAAGTTCGCCTGTGTTGGTTGATATGCAGCCTTTCTCCCTCTGTCCTCCTGTCTTTCCCTTCCTCCTTCCCTCCCTCTTCCCCTCCCTCCCTTTCCTTTTTCTGTGGTCCCAGTGATCCTGGTGCCTCTATTGGCCCCTGGCCTTTGTCACTCAGAGCCACCAGGATGTGCTCAGTCCCCAGTTACTTCCTGCTTGCTGGGAGAAGCTCTTTGTTCAGCTCCTTTAATCCCTCTGTGTGAGAACGATTTCTTTGCGAATGGATTTGAGGATTTGAGTTATGCAACAGCGACTCTACAGTAAAGGGCTGCCTGGGATTTGTGCCCACCCCTCACCATCGGCTTCCCAAAGCCCGTCTTCTGCTATGGCAGTGCTGAAATGGCGTGGGTGCCTGTGTGAGGCAGCAAGGGCAAGGATACAAGATGACGGGGGCAAATGCTTGAGGGGAGGCCGGTTTGCTTGGGTGTAGGGTTAGGGACCTCCGCAGCCTCCGGAATTGCGTGCCACCTGACTGAAGAAGGGGGGGGGGCACAGAACCTGCTCTGAGGACTCAGGGATGTGTTTTGGCTATGGTTAGCTAAAGAACAAGTTGCCATACTGGATGCCTTAGATTGCTGACATGCTGGCCCATTAACTCTCAGTGAAATGCTTCTGGGAGCCAGAAATTCTGGGCTTTCCATTCTCGAAAGTGCTAGGAAAGCTCAGAGGCCATGATTCCTCAACCCTTGATTTATTTAATTCTGTTCTGGCTTTTCTTGGCTCTACTCCAGGGAAATACAGAGAGAACCGTCTGGCAGTACCACTTTCGGACCTGGCCGGACCATGGTGTGCCCAGTGACCCAGGAGGTGTGCTGGACTTCCTGGAAGAGGTCCACCACAAGCAGGAGAGCATCATGGACGCAGGCCCTGTCGTGGTTCACTGCAGGTGACATCCCAGCTTGGTTTCTTTTAAGCTCAGGGGTTTGGGAGTTAGATCTCCTTGGAGATGTGACCCATTCTTCCCAGCACTCTGTTTATCCAGTGTCCATCACTTCCCAGTGGGGTTAGCATACAGAGCATGTGGGCTTCGTGATTATACTGAGGGTGGTTTGGTTTTCTGAACTTTCACTCACATGTTGAGTGAAGCTGTCATTGTTCAGTGGTTTGTTTTCTCATCGTTGTTATTTTGTGATAGGATCTCACTTTCATGGGGAGATTCAGGCTGACCTCAAGCTTGTGGTGCTTCCTCTGCCTCTGTTTCCCAAGTGCTGGGGTAACGGGCCTGTACCACCGTAGCTGGCACATTCAGTTTTGTTTTGTTTTTTTGAGACAGAGTTTCTCTGAATTGCTTTGGAACCTGTCCTGGAACTTGCTCTGTAGACCAGGCTGGCCTTGAACTCACAGAGATCTGCCTGCCTCTGCCTCCCGAGTGCTGGGATTAAAGGCGTGCACCACCAATGCCCTGCTTGTTTATTTTGTTTTTAAACCTCCATTAATGTATGTAGGTTTTGTAGCTAGGTGGCTATTTAGGAAAGAAATGAACACACATTTCTTTCTTTGAATGTCTGCTGTGGCCTGTATGACAGGAAGCCATGAGTCTGTGGGCAAGTTTCTATGTCCAGGAGAGCCATAATTTGTCTAACTGTTTCCAGGTAAAAGTTGTATGTAACTTGGGAGTGGAGAAAAGATGCCATGTGTTAGTCAGGGCCGTCATGCTCAGTACTGTGAAACTTATGGCAAGCCCCCAAGAGATATTGTTACCTCCCCATTCCATGGATGAGGAAATAAGGGTACCCGAGAGGCCCAAGCCAGGAACAGAGGGAACTGACACCCTGGGGGTGGGGTGGAGGAGAAAGAAGCTGATGCGTGGCTGTGACCTGCATCTTCTAGACACGCAGAACAGAGCCTGTGGACATTAATAGCTTGGTTCTGAATGTGAAACCCCCACAAGTGACTCCAGCATCTCTGCCATTTATTCTTCTACCCACAGTGCTGGAATCGGCCGGACAGGAACATTCATTGTGATTGACATCCTTATTGACATCATTAGAGAGAAAGGTAGGTCATCCTGAGGGCAAGAAGCCACATACAGTTCCTGTTTCTAGTTTGTGAACAGAGAGTGCTGCAGAATATAGCCTGGGAGAGAGAATTCACAGGGGAAAGGAATGGTCATTTAAATCTGGATGAGATTCACTTTCAGTGAGTTCTCCTGTTTAGCTGTTGCTATGAAACGATGTCCTACAGTTTTGGTCTCATCCCCATGCCCCTGTTACCCATGTCATGAGGCCCTCTAGCCACTCGCTCCCTGCCTGTGGGATGGGGTGGCATTCTTGGGAACTGAGGGGCTTCTGACCCTAGTGTAAGCATTTTGACAGCTTGGATGGGATGGACAGGGATTCTGGCATTCGGGAGCCAAGGAATACCACGGGTCACAGTAAGCATAGCAGCTTACAGCCCTGCTTCAGGGAAAGGTTTCCCCAGTGTATCAGCTCTGCTCTGGCAGGAGAGGGTTCCAGTCCGCCAGAGAGTGGAGTGTAACAACTTCACTTTGCCTGCTCTGTTCAGGGTAAACCTCATTCAAGAGATTTATTGGGAGGGAAGAATCCAGGAGAGTGGCTGCCCTCTGCCAGGGTGGCAGATGACAGCTGGGGAGGCCAAACAGCCACAAGCTGACCAGACACAGGGTTTATATAGGGCTTCTTAGGAGGTGGAGTTTTCCCAGGGAGATTTCCAGGGTGGGGATTGGTCATATTTTAGTCCTTGAGCTCAGACTGGCTAGATCTCCTGCTCAGGGATTGGTTGGTTTTCTGCACAGGTTTAGGGTCGGATTTGGCTCTGGTTTCGGGGTCCAAGTGTGTTTCTTCCACTGGTTCTTTTTAGCCTTTTGCTTTCATTTTAGGACCAGGCTATATTACTTCCACTGGCTCTGATTCCAGAGGCAAAGTGTGTTTCTTTGGCACTGGTTTCAGGGTTAGGGTACATTTCTTTGGTTCTGGTTTCAGGGCTAAAGTGTGTTTTTTTGGCTCTGCGCAGGGTGTATTTCTTTAGTTGGCCCTTTTCCCTTACACCTAACCCTTTGTCCTAGCAGCTCCTGGCATTGTCCTGAGCATTGGCTCAGGAGTCCTGCTGCATCCCCTATGGCTAGTGGTGAGGGAAAGACTGCCTCTGTGTCCCTTCCCACCGTGTAAAGTGGGTGCTCAGCAGCCCACCCTGGCCTCATGCACTCCTGCAGCTACAGGGTCTTTGCTTTGCAGGTGTGGACTGTGACATCGATGTTCCTAAAACCATTCAGATGGTGCGGTCCCAGAGGTCAGGGATGGTCCAGACAGAAGCACAGTACCGGTTCATCTACATGGCCGTCCAGCATTATATTGAGACGCTGCAGCGCAGGATTGAGGAGGAGCAGGTATGGAATGAGGGGCTGGCACATGGGCTCAGCTCCAGTCCAGGCCATCTGGACTTGCACCCTTAGAGCCAGAGCACAGGCTCTCTTTATCTGTAGAAGGTTAACGGATCCCCACCCCAGTGGTCTTTCTGGAAGCTACGGTCATCCTTTGCCTCCTAGCTCAGGAAAGTGTGGTGCCATTGTCATGACTTCTACTTGACAGGCTTAGAATCAGGGCCTACAGTTTCCCGCCTGCTTCAGCTTTGATCTAAGCTGGTCTATCCTGAATCCGTCTTGTAAAATGAATGCCTCGTTCTTAATAGAGCATGGCAGTTTGAGCCACTAATTTGGCTGCATTGAAACAGTGAATTTCAATTTTAATAAGCTATGCATAATGAAGAGTGTGCAGTTGGAGCCATTCCATGTGAGGCTATTCATAACAGACACAGAGCTGAGTTAATTAGGATGCGCTGAGCCCAGGGAGACGAGGAAGGAGAGCTGTTCTTTTGGGGAGCTTTGATTATTCCTCTCCCGAACCCCATTGTGCTGCGGCAGATGGGTGGTATCTGAACACCAGCCATGTTTGTCTTTTTACTGCTGTTGCCTTCTAGAAAGCCCAGGAGAGGAGACTCAGTGCATGTCATAATGTGGCAGGTTGTCTCTTCATGGGTAGCTTTATTGTTTTTTTTTTTTTTTTTTTTTTTTTTTAAAGACCATCTCACTGTGTAGCCCTGGGCTGACCTGAAACTCAATATGTAGACCAGATTAGCCTTGAACTCATAGAGATGTTGCTACCTCTGTCTCCTAAGTGTTGGCCTGGAAAAATAGAACCACATTGTCAGCCTTGGGAGCCAGAGGGAAGTGCCCCTTCCTGAGTTTAGGTGCTCACCCAGACACCCGTGTCAGGTGGCTCATTGTGCACCCATTGAGAAATCAAGTGTGCATAGGTGTGTAAGGTCATATTGATTGATTCCCAAGCCACCTATCCTGAACTTCAATGTTTTACATCTGAATTCAACACAAGCTTTTGTTTTTTCTTTCCCCTTAGTGGCACTAGGGAACACACCCAGCTAAGTCAGCACTACACCACTGATCTGCACCCCCAGACCTGTAAATGTAGACGGCTACTCTGAGGTTCTTTTATAAACGTCTTCCAGTTACATTTAATTAGTAAATAGTTTACAAAGAGATGCCCAGAGAAAAAATTTAAGGAGGTGGCATCATGGTTGCTAGGTCTGGTCAGGAACAATTCAGGAGCGTCCTGTCATCTTGCCAGAAGCTCTCTATTTCACTTAGATTTGTATTCATGTTAGAATTGAGAGGTAGAAACAGGTAGATCAGAAATTCAAGTTTATCTTTGACTGTGTATTGTGTTTCCGGTCTTCGTGAGATTTGGTCACAAGAACAACAAAACAACAATGAAAAAGAGTCCCGTCGTGTCCCGTCCCGTCCCCCCCCCCCCTTGCGCATGCACATGCACGTGCTTATTTTTAAATTTAAGCTAAATATGTGTGAGCCTGTGTCCACGTGTGGGCATGTGCATGTTAGTACAGGTGCATGTGAACCCTTAGACCCTTGGAGAATGCGGGGCACTTTGCACTCTTGCCCACAGCTGGGCTCCCTCTCAAGCCCAGCAGGCCCTTAAATTAGCAACAGGACAAAACTACATTTGGAAATGTAGTAGTTTTCCAGTTTAGGGTAAGTTAAGGCCCTTCGGGAGTAAAAGAGTTTGCTAAAGAAGGTTAAATGAAAAAGTAGAAAGAGACAGGTGGGTGGAGAGCCACAGGAAAGGAAGGGGGTGCAGACAGAGACAGACACACACACATATTAGCAAGAAAGAAATACACAGAGGAGGACAGAGTGTAGGGGCAGTCATGAGTGTCTGTGTCTATGTTTAACAGGCTTCTTGTCTCTGCAGTTTGGGTGAGAGGGTTTTTTTTTTTTTAATTTTTTTATTTTCCATTTATGGTAGTAAGTACTTCATTTGCAAAAGCAGTGTGTGGTATTTCCTTTACCCAACTTATCTGAAGGTTAAACATTCATTCTCTCTTTAAACTTTAAAATATATGTAAAAAGGGAACATTTAAAAGTTACATGTATTTATACCTCTTTGCTTTTAGGACATTCTGTTACCTAATCATGATCCATTACCAAGCTGAGGAAGCAGACACTGCTAGAAAGCTCTGTGCAACCTCAGATCAGGACTGGGGCTGTAGCTTCAGTATGAGCTCACTCGCAGGATCCTGAGGTCCATCCCAGTACTACACATAAGCATACCAGGTGTAGCTACACACTTGTGGAAGTCAAGCATTTGGGTGGGGAAGACTGCACATTCCAGTCTAGCCTGGGCCATATTAGACCTCTTGATAAAAACAAAACCAAGCAAGAAACCAAAAAATACGGTCTGGAGAGGTAGCTCAAAGGTTAAAGACATGTACTGCTTTTGTAGAGGACCTGAGTTCATTTCCCAGCATTCATTGTCAAGTGGCTTAAAACTGTAGGTAACTTCAGCTCCAGGGTGATCCAATCCCTGCCCCCCAATTCTGACCTCCTCAGGCACCTGGCCACACACACACACACACGCACGCACGCTAAAGTAACCTGTGCACCACATTCAGATTTTATAAGGGTTAGGGTCATACCATGTATGCAGCTGTCATGTTTCTTTGCCTGTCTTCCATCTTCTGTGTCACACTGACACTCTGTCCCACTGTTACTGTGTCCTCCATAGTTGGGAAGCTGCCAGTTCCCTCTCCTAGAGACGCTGGCCATTATTTTCTGTTGTGTCCTTTGCTGAATTGATTCAAGATGGTCAGGTCAGCTTTGCTCCTTAAAGGTGGCAGTGAAGCTTCTTTACTCAGAAGTTATTACAAGAACCATGCGCACACACACAGATACAAGTACACACAGACACACATTATGACTCATACATATAGATCCTACTTGGAGAAAAAAAGATTTGGACACACTCAACTGGGGATGTGGCTCCGTGGTACAGTGCTTAATCAGCATGGCCCTGGCTTTGGGTTTGATGTCCACCAGGAGAGGGAGCTGGATATTTGAGGCTGGAAGCAGTCTATTTCTCACTGTACTTTCTTGCCTACTAGCTATACATTGGTGTGTGTGTGCATGCGCACATGTGCACACCTCTCTGCTTCCTCCTTTTTTCCCTCCCTCCCTCCTTTCCATGACTGGAAGTTTGTGACTTGATTTGTTCACATCTTTTTGTGGGTTGAGAAACAAGGACAAGACCAGAAGCAAAGCACCTGGACCTACTTCTACTTTCTGGTCCCATGTCAAAGGTTCCGTCAGCTCCCCAACATCATCACTAGCTGGGGTCCAGGTGCTCAGACCCATGAAGCTGTTGGGACCTTTGCATTCAGGCTGGAGCAGGGCCCTGGGAAGGCCACACACTATTCTGTGGAAGCCACTGGGCAATTCGAAACAGAGGAATGATATAAAATGACCTTGATTTAAGAGAGGACCCTGCCTCCCATGGAATGGTGGACGTCAGGCTTGGGCACTTAAACTGTGTTGGTTTGTAGAGAGTGGGAGGCTGAATGGGGAGAATCCGACTTGCCTCCAACTCACTGTGAGGCTGGGGATGAATCTGAACTTCTGATCCTCCCTGAGCTGGTGTTGAGTGGTTAATGTGCTCCTGGGGATGGGAGCTGGGTGCCTGTGCTGGCAGGTGCTTTACCCGCTGGGCCAGTCTTTCCTTCCCTAAGTGACTTCCTTTGTTTAAATGCAAATACATGTTCTGGAGAGGAGGTTCAGCCAGTAGGCCCTTTCCACTCTTCCAGTGTTCCTGAGTTCAGTTCCCATCATCCATGTTGGCAATTATAATAACAGCCTATAGCTTGAGGGAATCTAATGCCCTCTTCTGGCTTCCAAAGGCACTTGAACACATGTGGCATGTACACAAATAGACACACATGTACATATACAGATGAAACACAAATATCTTGAAACCGCATAGACCATCATTGTTCACTAATTTAGATGTTGGCCAGTGGGATCCTGGTGTCGTATTGTTGCAGTTATATGAATCTGTTTGCATACAGTTCTCTCCTCCCGTCCCCTCCACCGCACATTGCTTCACTGTATGGACATATCATATTCTTTTGCTCTTGGGGCATTTATAAAGAGCGTCATGCCCCAGCCACCCCTGTACAGTTCTTAGGCGTCCATGCAAGGGTTTCCCAGTGAGACACAGATGTTCATCCAGTTAGTGCCATCTTCATTGTTGGGAACCAACAGTTTTTCTTTTCTCCAGTGCCTGGGGTCAAGTCCAGAGCCTTGTGCAGCCAGATGGGAAGCACTTACTGCGAATTATGTCCCCAGCCTCCCAGTTCAGCCTCTGAGCACTGATGGTGGTTCCAGGTGTATGCCAGTCTTTAGTATGGCTGTGCTTCCTTCCTAGCAGTGCTAAGGTCAAGGCAGTGCCACTGCTCCCTTGATGGATTCCACTTTGAGAACTGGCAATCTGCATGTGGATTTGAGAAAAGGTGACAAGCCAAGGGGCTGCTGCAGCGGGGAAAAGCACTTGCTGTGCAAACCTAATGACCTAGCCCAAGCCTCAGCGCCATCGAGGAAGGAGAGAGCTGATTCCACGCAGTTGTCTTCTCCTTTCTCCATGTGTGTGGCATGTGTGAGCCCTCATACATCTCACACACACACATACAAAGACGACATGAGATGAGGTTACATTCCCGTTGGTTTCCTTGCCTCGACACATTGTTAGGGTCAAACTAACGTTTGTGCTGTGATCTTTTCTGTTGTGTATTAGGAGGCAGGTTGCAGGGCTGGGGGGGGGGGTATTGCAGTGGCAGGGAACACACCCAGCCATGTGCAAGGGCTCTGGGTACCATCCCCAATGCTAAATGAATAAAGTGCATCATTATGACTTCCATCCCTCCGTGCTTTTCTACTTGGAGGGAATCCTTCTGGAGCGTCTCTATCTTAAATTCTACTGAAGCGGTTAGAGCTCCATGCAAAGGCAGCAGGAACTCTGTGCTTAGGAGCAGGGCCTCTGGTCTGGTTCAGTGGGCAGTTCCTGCATTCCTGCAGCTCTGGGGGCTTTGGGGGGACTGTGGTCCCAGAGCATGCCTCCTGAGGGTGCTGGGCCTTGGAGGAGACAAGCTCCTGACAGTCTGGTCAGCTTGTCAGTGTTCTCAAGATTTTGGCCTGTGATTCTGCCTCTCTTTTTCTTTGATATAATAGCTTTTTGTTTCTGTATATTTTTGTTGTTGTTGTTGTTTGAGACAGGGTTTTCTCTGTGGCTTTGGAGACTGTCATGGAACTTGGTCTTGTAGACCAGGCTGGTCTCGAACTCACAGAGATCTGCCTGCCTCTGCCTCCTGAGTGCTGGGATTAAAGGCATGTGCCACCACCACCATTCTTTTAAGCAACAAAGCCACAGTCCTTCTTACCTGTCTTTTTCCTACTTTCAGAAGAGCAAAAGGAAAGGACATGAGTATACCAATATTAAGTATTCCCTGGTGGATCAGACAAGCGGCGATCAGAGCCCCCTGCCACCTTGTACCCCGACACCACCCTGTGCAGAGTAAGTAATGATGTGGCTATGTAGCTCTGGTAAAAGCGAATAGCAGTTGTTTGCAGTATTTCCAGCTCATACTTGCTGTCTGATAGCACATGGGGGTGGTTGGGGTTGAAGGGCTCTCTAGGAACTGTGTGGATATCGAAACAGAGATTCAGGGCCCCTAAACAGTAGGCACATGTGGGGCTTTCCGGACCCTGTGTGGCTCTGAGTCTGTCAGGTCAGGGTTCTCTAGGGAAAAAAATCTAATCTTCCTTTGGCTGGGGGCATTATTTCAGTGGAAGGTGCTGTGACTCTTTGACAAGTAAGAATAAATGGAGTCTCTATTCATGTGTGGACATAACTATGGCCTGCCAGTCAGGTTTTTTTTTTTTTTTTTTTTTTTTTTTTTTTTTGTTTGGTTTGGTTTGGTTTGGTTTTGAGATGGGGTTTCTCTATGTTTAGCCCTGACTGTCCTGGAACTCACTCTGTAGACCAGATAAGAGATCTGCCTATCTCTGCCATCACTGCCTGGCCCAGTCAGGGTTTTTAAACCAAAGGTCAGAAAGGCAGAGCCTATAGGTCTAGCTTTGCTTTTTAAAGGCATTCTTATTTAAAAACAAAACAAAAAACCAAAAAGGCATCCATCGCAGGAGGAAATGAGCAGGAGCTGCAAAAGATGCAGTGGGCGGCTTAGGGACTCGCAGGGAGGACTCATTTTCTTTCCTTGGGTCAGTGAACAAGAAGCTCTTCCACACACCAAGTGAAGTCAGAAAGGCAGTGCCCAGCAGTGGTGAGGACAGTTTTGTTTTCAAGAAACAGCTGTTGCACAGCGGCAATTCAAGTGCCTGGGTTCAGCCCCTCCGGACAGCCTGCCTTGGTAACTATGGCCAGAGCTTTAAGAACACAGTGACACCGCACGGTGACTGTGCGGCTTGGAGAGTTCACCAGATCTTGGGGAAGATTTTCCCCTAAAGGCATTCAGCATGACATCGTCATCCTGATAGTTTAGGAAGCCGAGTGACATTCCCAGTGTGTGAGATGAATTAAGAGACGGAAGAGGAGTACTGAAGGACCCACGCCCTTCAGTCAGACTCCAGGTGGCACTGAACTTTGGATGGGAAAAGGAAATTAGTTCCTGATTTTTACTAATTTTTCTCCGACACCCAATGCTGCAAAGACCTATGAGTGTCCAGCTGCTGTGGAGTTCTCCATGGTTTTGAGTATTTAACCAGCAGTGCGCTGTGTCAGTCTCTACAATCTCCCTCCGTGTCTGTTAGATAGATAGACACAGTCTGGAACCTGGAACCAAGGGCTGATGCTTACAACTTTCTTGAAGGCAAAGTTGTCTTGAGGCCATTTTTTAATGAAATACCCCAATCTTCCAGGCTGCTGCTCTGTAGCCTGCCATTAAAGACTCCCAAGAGAGGTAGGACTCGACAGAGTCCACATTCACATTCTAGGAGACTCAGGTCCCTGCGCCTTAAATGACAGTTTTCAGGCCAGGTCAGTACTGAAGTCCTCTGTGACCTCTCTCCCTCACTCCACCCTGTCACTCCAGTGCTCAGTGTCCATAAGGGCCATGGCTTATGCACATCCCTCACACCATACCCCTTCTGCTCCTCATGCACCATTGCCTGGGAAAGGAAAACTCCAAAGCATGACACACACACTGGTTCTTTCCAGAAGGGCTTATCCAGTTCCCGGTTTAAAGTAAAAGATACCCAGGCAGCCTTTGTTAGCCTGGTCACGTGGCTAGCAGCTGAGCAGTCTGTACCGCAAAGTCATTGTCCACCATAACATTTACTTTCTCTTTCCCCTGGAATCTGGCTTGTTTGCTTCTGCTGTGGGCTTTTAAAGCCCCGCTGACTTTAATATTGGCTCTACAGAGCAGATAGAGGCCTGTATTTACATTCTCTCTCTGTTAAACACAGAAATGAAATCCTGTGTCAGGGGTACTCTCTTCTGAGTCACCTTTCCTCCTGTTTCCCTCAGCCCCAGCAGGCTGCCTGGGAATGCTGGTGTTTTAAACCACTTGCAGTAACTTGCTGGGGAGCCAGCACTTTTCCCACAAAACTCAACCGAGACTGACGGCCACTCTGCCGCGCCCTTCATGTTGTCCCCACGTAGGCTGCACACCTTAGATCCTGGGCCCTGGGGCTGCTCAGAGCTCTGGTCCTCCTGGCCTACATAGACTCCTGATAGCCTTAACAGAAGGAGGTTGGCCCTCGGATGCTTTATTTCTCCATCCAAGGCTCTAAAGGTGGCTGGAGCCTTCTTTCACCTGGTCTCATGTCTCGCTGGGAATGGTCACAGTTCCTGTCTTGTGTGCACATGACCTAACTTCTTTACTGTCCTCCAGACCCTCCATCCACATCAGAAGGCACAGGATTCCAGGTCCCGGCTGCTTTCCCAACTTCACAGTGATACAGCGCACGTGTGTCTGATGTCCACGAGTCAGCTCGTAGCTGAGCAGGGGGTCTCAGCAGAGCTGGGCCAGATGGGACATGGCAGGCATTCAGGTGTCTTCCTTCTTCCTCTCTGCAGAATGAGGGAGGACAGTGCTCGAGTCTATGAGAACGTGGGCCTCATGCAGCAGCAGAGGAGCTTCAGATGAGCCCCATCGGCTGCGGCAGCCCGCAGGTATTTCAGCGTCGAGGTGTTCTCTGGGACTGTGATTCATAGTGTTCCTAGATAGGCAGGGGATTTGTGTACGCCAGAGCAAAACCTACTGTGACTGAGCGTTGAAAACCAGCCTTTTTTCGGGCCTTGTCCTTCTGCAGGCTGGGTTTGGTTTACAGTTCACTGAGCATTAAACTCAGATCAGATAACTGCATAGGGGTGTGGCTGGCACTTAACAGCCAGCAGTAGGCAGCGAAGAAGAGCAGCCATCACCGTTCTGCAGGTAGAACTGGGCTCAAGTGGCACAGGCCTTGCTTGCTGCCTGCCATCTCTTGGCATCAGGATCAGCCGTGCCTCTGAGGGCTTAGGCTTCTGGGCTCCACTGGTCGTTTCCCTGCGGGGGCCTCCCTGGCAGGCACTGTGGTTGATCCACATAGGTGATGCAGGCTTGTGCGGTAGGTTAGAAACACACAGGATGGGGGCTGGAGAGATGGCTCAGTGGTTAAGAGCACTTTCAGAGGACCCAGGTTCTATTCCCAGCACCCACATGGTAGTTCACACCTGTCTGTAACTCCAGTTCCAGGGAATCTGGTATCCTTACACTAACGCACATAAAATAAAAGGTTAAATAAAGTATTGAAAGGAAGGAAGGAAGGAAGGAAGGAAGGACGGACGGACATACAGTATGGTATCACATGCTAAAATTCTGTCAGCAACCATATTTCAGTAGAGAGCATGTCTGGCATGTGTGTGTGATACTCTGGTTTTAGTGCCCGGCACCCTCAGAGAATACGAGACTCTCCACGTTTATCTCTGTGTGCTCCCTAAAAAGTCACAACTTCTTTCTTCCTCAGATACGAACTTTCACCCCTTCCCTAAAAATGTCAAGACTAGACAAGAAAGTTTCCAGGACCCACGTGTTCAGAAGCTTGCCCGCCAGGGTTGACTGACTGCCTTTTGAGAAGTGAAGTTTGGAACCATTTGAAGAGCACAAGTCTAATCAGCACCTCCCTTCCTCAGATAAGGGGAAACTGCTCTGCGCTGTCAACAAAGCTGTTTTTATAGAATTGGTTTTGAATTGTGGAAGCAGCTAAATTGTGCTCTGTATTTTACACATTATGGGACTCAAATTGTAGTTATGGGCAGGATTTTTTTTTTTTTTTTCTCCCATGACCTTAACTGATCTGATTTTCTTTTCCCCCTGTCTCTTTGGGGAACCATGGGCCCCTTGTAAGAAGAAAGGATTTGGGGGAATTCAGGAACAGAGTCCCCAGAAGCCAGCAGTCTGTAAACTACTGCTCATCTTCTACCGCCCAGGGATTGCTTAGGGTCGCTCATCATCACAGAGACTCACTGTTTAGTGCCAGGGACTGGGAGGCCAGGCTGTAGGGCTGCACTGATGAGGGCCTTCTGGTGTGCCACACCGGCTGGGAAGAGCATGAGGGCTAGCCTCGCTTTTACAGCAAATGGACGATGACAGCATGAGTCCACCCTCAAGTCCCAACCATTCCTTAGCGTCCCAGCTGTCAACACCATGGCATCGGGGTCTCTCTGCGCTCCCTGAAGATATATGTTGGGACACATTCAATACGGAATGACCCAGTCAAGGACAGTTCACTTTGGTAGCGGAGTGGTCATCAAACAGTGATGTGTGTCAGGGGATAAAAAAGTCGTGGCGGAAAGGCCATGGGAAGTCTTTCCTCTGAAAATGACCACTCCTCTTCAGGTGTGGACAGAGAAATGGTGGGAAAAGTGGCTGTGTTGTCTTTGCACTGGAGTCACCATCTTGTGTTAGTAAGACACCTGGGTGAGTGCCATCTGGTCCTCTCTTGTTCTTGACTGACCCATCCCCCCCATTCCCCAGTCTTGTCTGGGCTTGCATGAGCCCCACTGTCCTGTGGGAGTCCCTTGGGGAGCTGGTAACATGGCCAAGACACTGAGCTGCTGTCTCACTGAGGTGTCTTCCGGTCTTTTCTCCTGGATGTCTGTGTAGTCTCAATAGCAGGGTGGCTGGGCCTTTATGTGTCTCCTAAGGCTCAAAGGCAGAAGTGGCCAGGCCATCTTCAGATCCAGGCCTGGAATGACCATGACTTCTTCAGTGGCTGCCTGCGTGGAAATCAGACTCAGCCTGAAGTGTGTAGTGGAGATGCCGTGCTCTGGGGCCACCAGTCTGTCAGGTGACCCCAGCCTGTGCCATGGAAGCAAGTGACTGTAGTTAGCAAGAGCCCAGGCTACTTATAGTAGCTGGTGTAAACTGTGGGTCAGATGAGAAATGTACAGCGCACATTCTGGAAGCTTCTGAGCCAATTTTTCTGGCACCACACATGTTGCACCATCCTCACCTGAAGACCTGGTGTGTGGTAAGGGTGGGTGTGTTTGGGGACGTATGAAAGGTTGTTCCTGAAGCACCGCAGATGGGTGAAGGTGATGCTTCATTGGGCCTTGGCTGAGCGTGAAGAGCGGCAGTCCTGGCCAGGCCTCCTGTCAGGTCCAGTCAGCCACTTATGCTCTAACCAAGCAGCAGGATTTGCTGTGTTCTGCCATTAAGTGCCTTCTCCAGAGACACCCCCTCTGCCTACGTGTTGAGAGCGTGTTTCACTGAAAGCATCCAGATTGACGCTCATGACCAAACAGTGGCACAGCCTCCACTCAGATTCTTTTTGCTTTGGTTCCTGAAAGGAAGGACTGGATCCTGCCCTGCAGTCGCTCCTTTCTGAGGCCTCCCATTCCCTGGCAGGCCTGAGGTAGTTGGGGAACACAAGGGCCACCATTTTCTTAGAGCATGTGTGTTGACCTTGCCCCTTCTCCAGTGGACTCATTGCTTCAGAGCACAGTGTGGCCTGGCTGTGTTCCCTCATCAGGGGAGCGTGGAAACCGCTGTCTTCTCACAAGCCTGTGACGGAGATCAGTTCAGCATTCACAGCCAGGATCCCGAATCTTGTTCTCTTAGCACATTATCACAAAGAACCGTGTTGGGGACGGCGGTAATATCTAGACTCTGGACTTCGGGGACGATGTCTCTCACCAGCACACCAAGGTTGGCCGTCCAGCTGATCTACTGAGTTGAAGTCTCTGCCTGCAGCTCAGGATCCAGAGCAGAAGACCCATTCTTAGCCTACGGTGTTCAGTACAGCAAGTGGTTTCTTCAGGTCCCCCTCCCACCAGTAAGGAAATGGATTCCTAAGAGCTCCTAGGTCTCCCGGATCTGTCAGGGTGGTAGCTGCAGGGTCTCAGGAGAGGGTACTCAGTGTGTGGGATGCAGGTGTAGTGTCTGGGAAGGTGAAGTATTGGAGGTGTGGGTTTGAGACAAGGAGAGTGAAAGTTGTAGAGGTTGTTCATGGGGGAGTTGGAGGGTACAGAATGACAGCAGGTCCCCTCGCTGCCGAGCCTTTTAAATTAGAAACATGGGATTTTATATTTGGGGGGAAAATCATCTAGCACATGGTCTTGGGGTTTCTAGAGAGCCACATGTAAGTCTTAGTAAGAAGGCTTGCCACACTAGTGTGCGTCCCTAGTGATACCCCAGGTTGCCTCTGCCGTTGCAGTTGGTGCCTTTCTAAAGGTGCAGTTGGGGTTAGAAAACGCTGCCGGGTGTCATCAGCTGTGCTTTTACAGAGCTGGTGGCCTTCAGTGGCTCAGCGTTATTTCTAGGGTGTTTGCTGGGAGTTCTAGAACATAAGCATTGTTTTCCTGTGAGGGACTGAGGCAGGTGTTGCGGAGATTTGTGACCTTAGGGAAACAGGCTCCAGGAACAAGGGCAAGCCCAGGGTAGGCTTTGCTCCTGTCGGTGGCTGGGGGCTGCCCTGGTTTCAGATGCCTTTCTTAGGGTCTGTGCTAGTCCGCCTTTTTGTTGGATTTGCCCCTCCCGCCCTTTGCAAAGATAAGCTCCTGAGTAGAGTTCATTGCATCCCCCATCACTAGCAGCCTGCCGTTTTCCGGGTGGGCAGGGCACAGTGAGTAGAGGGCAGCTGCTGTCGGTGCTGTAGAACTTGGCTGTGCATCAAACTAATTTTCACATGTCTTCCTCCTAAACCTCGACCATGGAATTAATAATTTGCCCGTTTATTTATGACCTAATTGTGACTCTTTTATTAATAAAGCTGATGGGAAAGGCCCCTCCCTGAGGCCGATGACCAGTCTCACATTTAACTTCCCCACAGCGTACAAAGCATCAGGCAGAGTATTACAGAAATATAGTATTTTATTGATAGACCTGTCCTTTAAAAGGAACATGTCTTGGGGTGTCATCATTTTGGTGTGAATCATGTAAATGTTGGCTGTTTGCTGTTTATTACACTTGAGTGTCAGGACACGCACTCGGCTGCTGTTCTGCACACACATACCGTGTAGTCTGCAGTTTTTTAAGTGACATTAACAGAATAGTTCATTAGGGAAACCTCAGAGGTCATCACTCCCCCCCCCCCTTTGTGTCATGAGTGTCAGCTGCTTTCTTAGCTGAAGTCATCAGAGTGTATCTGCATATACTCCATGTACCACCAGAGGCAGTGTATTTGTGAGCTGTCTGCAACTAAAAATTAGAATAAAACCATTTTCTTGTATTACGGTCCTTTGCTTTGCTGTGTGTGGGGTGGGTGGGTGGGAAGAAGGGGGATGACGGCTCTGTCGGCCTCTCACACCAAGAGTGCCTCAGGCCACAGGTCCTGCTGGAAGGCCTCTGCAATGCAGAGCAAGGAGCTCGACACTCCAGGGTCTCCTTGCTGGCCTGCCCTTTGTGGTTTCCAGGGACAAGCAGGAATTCTGGCTGGAAGGACTTGGGAGTAAATAAAGATCCCAGACCGTGTGAGCACTGTGAGAATGAGTGGGAAACAGGGTTGGAGGAGTGGTGTTCGGGTGGGTATATCAAGGGATAGCATTGCACTTGTAGACATTGGTGCTCCCTGCCCAAGCCATGTCCAAGCCAGAGTGCTGCCTTTATTTTGTAACCCTGGAGGGGGGAACCTGGGGCCTCACCTATGTTAGCACTGAGCCCACCCCAGCCCCTTACTGGGGGGTTCTGGACAGGCTTTTTCCTGTCCAGCCATGACCTCTAGCTCTAGGCCATGTTCTTCCGACACAACATGTACAACATGTACTGAACAGAAGGAAATCATGTCATAGACACCTGAGAAAGTGCTTGTTTGTCTTCTTTTGGGAGGGGAAGGCATTGAGTTACACTGGAAAATGCCATGGCTCTTAGGGTCCAGCCCAGGCATGCCATGAAGATGATTGGATACACTTGACTCTCCAGAAAGCACAGATTGCCTTTTAAACACCAGGTTCTGGGCCATGCCAGACAGGTGAACAATAACCAAACCATCTGACATGGTGCCTGCCAGCTAGGGGGAGCAGCCCCCTGGCACATGTTAGAGGCAGCTAGTGGGGTGTTGCTCTGAAGGTGCCTGGCAGGACTGAGACCATATTGGGTAGAGAGGAGAGGAGCTGGAAGGCTGACACAATGCCTACTAGCCTCTCCACGCCTTAGTTCACATCTTCCTGGGATCCCAAACTGTACATGGTGAGTGGTGGTGATGTCGTGAGCCCATCAAAGAGCCCAGTGGTGCTGTGCCCCTCCAAGATGGGTGGATGAGATGCAGTTCCTCCCCTGTGGAGACATAAGCAACATCTGTCCCTTTCTCATAAAGTCCCCATGACAAACCAGAGTACAGTTTCAACAGAATTTTCTCTGGACAACCAGTGAATTTATCAGATGCCTTACAGAGTGTGGTGAAGGCTGGCAATGGGGGTGACTCTAGAGAAACAGCCACACTGTAAAGTCTACGCTGAGCATGGATGATGTCCCCCAATAGCTGCATAGGTGGAGCCCCATTCAATTAACTCTTGTTCTTTGGGGGCCCACCACCCAGCTTCCAAATAAGTACATGGAGACTTATTCTTTCTTATAGATAGCCATCCTTAGCTTGGCTTATTTCTAGCTAGCTTTTCTTAAATTATCCTTTTGCCTCTGGAATTTTATCTTTCTATATACTTTTCTTCTTATATCGTGGCTGGCTGTGTGACTGGGTGACTGGCCCCTGGCACCCTCCTCTCCTCCTTTTCTTGCTCCTTGATCTCTGATCCCAGATTTCTATTTATTTTCTCTGCCTGCCAGCCCTGCCTATCTTTTCTCCTGCCTTGCTATTGGCTGTTCAGCTCTTTATTAGACCAGTCAGGTGTTTCAGACAGGAAAAGTAACACAGCTTCACAGAGTTAAACAAATGCAACATAACAACGCAACACTTTAATCCCAGCACTTGGGAGACAGAGGGCATGTGGATCTCTGTGAGTTCAAGGCCAACCTGGTCGACAAGAGCTAGTTCCAGGACAGCTAGGGTTACACCAAGAAACCCTATCTTGAAAAACCAAAAACCAACCAAACATGCAAAACAAAAAGAATGCAACACATCTTTGCATCATTAAAATGTTACATAGCATAAACAAATGTAACACTTCTTAAACTAATATATTCCACAAGGCTCCCCAGCCTTTAATACTCCAGCAGCTGCTGAGGCTCTGAGGACATCTCCAGTTAGGGAGGAACTGCTTGCACAAGACTAGGAAGAGTGAAGGTCCTCACACCTTCCACTCTCCAGGGAATGGCAACAGAGTCCATAAGCCACACGTGATGCACTTGCGTTCAAGCACAGCTCATCTGATGAAGATGGCGGCTGATTCTCTTGGAGGACCAAATTCTACATGGCTGTTGGATTAGGTAGGTCATCTTTTCACAGAGAAGTTCCTGGCACGAGTACCTACCCTGTGACCCCATCTCACATCTGCTTTGTGTCCTTTCATACTATGAGGGGTGAAAGGGACCCTTGGTCTTGAAAACACAACGCTGACCAACTAGTTCAGAATCCAAAGGCTTAACTTGCACAATATTACACTAAAAATTTATGGACTCATCTGTGACAATTGTTGTCCTTGTTTGCTTTTCTGTTGCTGTGGTACACACCTGACTAAAAACAGCTTGGAGAGGTAAGGGTTTATTTGACAGTTTCCATCATCAAGGGAAACCAAGGCAATTTCTCAGTTGAGGTAAACCAGGCTGGCCTTGAACAGATTCACCTGCCTCTGCCTGGGATTGCAGGTGTGAGCTAGCACAGTAGCAGAAACAGCTTTACGCTAGGATATATGGGAATTACACTGAAAATAGTTTGGGGTTCAAATCCTCTACTCCATAGCAAGGAATCCCAAGACAGGCTAGTCATTCCTGCCTTTGAGAGGCACAGTGCAGCCACGTCTCCACGTAGATTCTGGTTGGAGTGGGCAGCCCTTGGGCTGGGGTAGAGATCCTGGCTGGAGATGTGAGTTTAGAAGGGGTGGCAGGAAAGGGAGGAAGAAGTGTCTGGTGACCTCTTCCTCCCGTCTCAACTCTAGCTGCATTGTTCTAACCCAATGGCAAGTCAAGAGGACCACGTGGCACAGACCCTGCATCCAGAGGGGCTTGGGATCTGCAGGGGCCACAACTGACCATGATCCACAGGGCTTAGCTTCCCAAAGCAGAGCCAGGCAGGGGTGGAGGCTCACTGGACCCTTGCATCTAAAGATTGGTCACTCTTCTGGACTTGGCAATGCAGTCAGTCTCAGGGCTCATTTCTGCCCCACTTGATCAGCTCTATCTGCCTGCTAGCCTTCCTCCCCCACCCCTGTCCATCCGTCTCTCCGTCCCTCTCTTTCTCACTTTCTGGATCAGGTCCTTTTACTTTTTCTTAAACTTTATTTTTATTGTATGCACATTGATGTTCTGCCTGCCTGTATGTGTAAAGATGCCAGATCCCCTGGAACTGGAGTACAGACAGTTGTATTCTGCCGTGTGGGTGCTGGGAATTGAACTCAGATCCTGTGGAAGGGCAGTCAGTGCTCCTAAGCGCTGAGCCATCCCTCCAGTCCTCTTGGGTCAGGTTCTTATGTAGTCTTGGCTAGCGTCAAACTCACAAAGTAGCAAAGGATGACCTTGAACTCCTGATCCTTCTGCCTCTACTCCCCAAATTTTGGGATTACAAGCATGTGATACCACACCTGGATCAAAACTTTCTTTTTGCAGTACTGTGATTGCTGAGAGTCGAACCTGGAACCTTGGGCGGTTATACAAGCACTATACCACTGAGCAGCAGTCCTCAAATGTACAGTTTCTCAAGGTCATCAGGACACCCACCTGTCCTTCTCTAGTTTGAGAATAGCTGTACAAGCAGATTTCCTCTTGGAGGTAAATGTTCTTGAAGATCATGTCCAGCCCATGTCAGTTCTTCTGGAGGTGAGGGTATGAGTTCTTATTTTACCCAATTAAAATTAAATAATCTTTTGAGAAAGTTCTCACTATGTAGACAGGTCATTCTCCAACTCCACCTGCCTCTACCTCCTGAGTGGCTGTGTTAAAGGCATGCACCTCCATGCCCAGCTTGTTTTATTTTTTTAAATTTGATTTTCATTTATGTGTATGTGCCATGTCTGCAGTGCCTGTGGAGGACAGAAGGGGGCATCAATCTCTTGAAGCTAGAGTTTCAGGCAGTTGACAGCCACCATGTAGGTTCTGAGAATTGAACTCCCATCTTGAGCAAGAGGAGCCCTCAAACTCTAAGCCATCTCTCTGACCCTTCTTTTATGTTTTACATTTATTTATTGTGTATATGTGTATGGGAGCATGCATGTGTGCCAGCCAGCACATGCATGTGGCAGCCAGAGGACAATACGTAGGACTCTGTTCTCTCCTTCTGCCCCATGAATCTCAGGGATCAAACGTAGTTCATCAGGCTTGGTGGCAAGCTTCTATACCGTCGAAGCCATCTTGCTAGCCCTCAGATCTGAAGCCTACTTGGTATCATTGGCTGGATATCCAAAGACAGGCTCTGGGGGGGGGGGAAGACAAGACAAACAGCACCACAGACGTCTGGGAAGCAGCTTCAGATATTCTTAGACATCACGCCCATCGCCCTAGCTTGTGGAACCCCAGAGCGCTTGCCAGATCAGATTCCTGTAACCATGGGAAGAGAAGATCAGGAAGATGCTGAAATTAGTTTTCTTCGGAGCTGCAGATGTCTGATTCTGGACAGATTTCTAGGCTCGAAGAAAGTCATGTGCAACTTCATTCATAGAGCTCCTGTTGTTGCTTCTGTCGCATTAAAGTGGGTCCCACATGGAAGCTTAGGAACCATCTCCCCAGGTACTGGTGCGAGGCAGTGCCCCCTCCTCCAGCCTCTGCAGCCTGAGCACTGGGAGAGCGAGCTGCAGGCAGCTGTCGGCACAAAGTTCCTTGACTGTATGTTTTTGGTTGGAGAATGTGCCCTACACTTGGTGATGCTATGTCCTTGTAATATAGACACCAGCAGATGGACATAGGATGCTATTATCCTGGTAGTGAGGATGGGCCCCCTCTCCCCACTAGCCTTGAGCTTGTGTCCAGAGGTGGCTCAGCAATGAAGATCGTTTTCTACTGTCATAGAGAACCAGGGTTTTTGCCCGTGTCCACACGTCTGTAAATCCAGGTCCAGGGGATATAATGCCCTCCTCTTCTGGCCTCCTTGGGCACTGTATACACATGGTGCACATACACACATGCAGG